CAACAATGTCTAAAGGAGTCTGTTAATCAATCGCCAGAGATTTGCCCGCCTCCCCGATGTTGTATATCAATTAATTTGTGACAGACTCCCAATGTTTAGCAATTGCGGTTGTGTTCTTTGGAAGCTACATGACTAATATCATATGAGCTAGCACGATGACAAAATTACGAATATAGATCTTATTCAATGGGAAAAGTGATTAGGTCATTCAGGATTGAATATCAACTTTCATGGTTTAACTGCTGTACCATCTACCTATCCTAAATTTTTTGAGTGAGTAATAACAGTGCACAGTTGTACATTTAATTCAATACCTCTAAAAAGTATAATAAAATTGGTCCTCGTGTCATTTGATGTCTAGAGTTCGATTCCCGGTTCGTGTAATAACATTTTGGCTTTTATAGGTCCACATATTACATTATTTTAATACTTACCTACTAATAAATAGATAATTACATCACAAAACAAGGCAAGAATCCCAAAAACGTGTGTCTAGCATCACAATATCTAGAAGAAGGTAAATTTTTGTTGGGCATTTAGCCCAAAGGTTGACTAAAAGAAAATTCATGAAATATTAATTATTATTAGTTATGTTGTATGAATGGATCGAACCAGTGACCGTCAATTCCTATGAGTACAAGATCGAAAAAGAATGTTAATTGGCTCGCAATATCGTTTTCATCAACCTGTAGGTACAGTCATCGCGAAATAGTTAGTTTGTGACGCCCAAAGTAGCCACGCAAACAAACTAGTCCAGTAGAATTAGCTTTTAAATCGGAAATAATTCCTACAAAAGATTTTATTGTTTTAATGGCTTCTTTGGTTGCCCATTAAGACTCTCCTAAGTTTTCGACTTCGACGGAGTTGTGCTTAAGTGGTGGGGGCCCCTAGAGATTGCAAAATCCGGATTTTTCTTAAATCCGGTTTTCCGGATTTGTGTTACGTACAAATCCGGATTATCCGGATTTTTCGAATATTGGGTAAATTTTTTAAACCATCAATTTAATTTAAATAAAACGTAGTTTTTTTCAAAAAGATGTAAGTATTTGAAGAAAAGCGTTTTATTTTATTATCGCGCATGGAATTTATTCCTCTTTTTTTCGGTTTGCGCTACAAGCTTTCGAAATTATTTGAACCTTGCATTATTTTTTTCGTTTTAGTACAAATGCATTTCAGAATAAAAACTTGCTTGTACCTATAAAATATTTTTTTTATTCTTCTTCTTGTCGTGTCGACAACAAACCTACACAGCGTCAGCCCAAAACTCCGCCACAAGAGTGGCGTTGTCAGTAGCCTTCATTAAATCTTCCTGCTTGCAGTTGTTTGGGCACGCAGGGCACGACATCATGTGCTTCGTCGACTGGGGAACAAAACCACACTTGCACTCCAAGTTTGATCCATCTAAGAATCCCTACCTGACACCTGAACAGATTGTCCTTACTACGGCAGACCTGTCTGAAGTCTATAAAGATTTCCAGGTAGGCCAGGGGAGCTCATTTTTTTATTATAATTTTATTTTACACTTTTAAGTTGTATTTCAATCTCAGGGCCCTGGTCATTATTTACGGCCAAAGTGCTCGGGAAGACGAATCCAACGAACTCAAACTCTATAAGTTTCTGCCGTTTCGGTTAGGAGTTCCTATGGCCACCTCCTGATTCATCATCAGAACCCTGAACATTATCTAGCACTTAAGTGCTTGAAAAGACAAATCCAACAAACCCAAATTCGATGAGTTTCCACCGTTTCGTTTAGGAGTTCCTATGGCCACCTTCCGAATCCATCATCAGGACCCTGGGCATCATCTAGCACTAAAGTGCTCGAAAAGACAAATATAACGAACCCAAGTTCGATGCGATTCCGCCGTTTCGTTTAAGAGTTCCTATGGTCACCTCTTGACTCCATCATCAACCCAGCTAAATGGTTGGCGGTATATCCAACAACCTGTTTAGAACTCTTTTAAGGACTTCTCCACAATCACTCCCATTCTCATACAATAACATTTCGAGATGAATTAATGTAAGCAAATCGAATCCGCTGGGTGAACTTGATGGGCGAGGTTGAAGATATCTACTTACACTTGGCCTGCGGATGAATATGGAGAAAACAAAGCTTATGTCCAATGTCCATGTTGCGCCCTACCCAGTTTCGGTTGGAAGCTCAATTCTCGAGATTGTTGACAAGTATGTCTACCTCGGACAAACGATTCAGCTGGGAAGGTCCAATTTCGAGAAAGAGGCCAATCGTCGAATCCAACTCGGCTGGGCAGCGTTTGGTAAACGACGCAACATCTTTTCGTCCAAAATACCTCAGTGCCTGAAGACTAAGGTCTACAGCCAATGTGTGTTACCAGTGATGACTTATGGTTCGGAAACGTGGCCTCGCGTGCTATGGAGAGGGCTATGCTCGGTGTTTCTTTACGAGATCGAATCAGAAATGAGGAGATCCGTAAACGAACTAAAGTCGCTGACATACTAGCCCGACGGATACAAGCTGAAGTGGCAATGGGCAGGGCACATAGTACGCAGAACTGACGGCCGATGGGGCAGCAAGGTTCTGGAGTGACATGCAATAAATAATTTGAATTCGGAGTGGAGGCCGCGTACCGGAAAACGCAGCGTGGGACGTCCACCCACAAGGTGGACCGATAACATCATAAAGGTAACCAGGCAACATGGAAAGCATTGGGCAAGGGGCCTATGTTCAGCAGTGGACTTCCTATGGCTGAGATGATGATGATGATAATGACTTACACTTTAAAACTCAGCGATATGGTGTTTCAGAATCAGCGTCTCGTATAAAACTTACTGGCCGACTAGCGAATTCACTTACGCATGCGGCATATCGCGTTATTGTGCAGGCACAGTGCAGGTGTGAGTGTTGTGCGACGAAGTGCGGGTTCGTTCAATCAAAACTTCGCTTGTTTTGCATCCATGTTGCAATCAATAGATATTTTGGTTTATGATTTTATGATAAAATTTTTGGGGTAAAAATATTCGAAAAAACCGGATTTCAAAGTAAAAATCCGGATTTTTTTAAAGCTTCAAAATCCGGATTTTTCAGATATTTTCGAATTTCGAATAATTCGGATTGCAATCTCTACCCGAAAGGGGCGTTTTTTCGGTTTTCCGGTTATACCACGTAAAGGACTTACCCTATCAAAAAGTGGTCTTCGTGACGGTTGAAGGGCACTTAATCCTGCATTGAATAAGACCAAATTCATATGTTTTGGACAAACCGTTCTCGCGCTAAAGTTCGGCAAAGTAGAAAATATACGTATATTTAATGACCCTCTCCACGTCCAATGGTTTGTTACCCACAGGCTTCCAAGTCTTGAAAAGGGCCACCTCAACCAGTGGNATTGCGAATTTAGAGATGGGTTTCCACCCGGGTAAAAACCCACATGAGGGTAAAAACCCAATAAAAACCCGTTTCATTCCACCCGTGGGTGTTTACACCGGGTGAAAACAAATAATTTTATAATTATTTCAATTGGTATCTTTTCTTTATTTTTATTGAATTTTTCTCATTTAAGTTTATTGATTAATAAGTAATAAATCATATTTAACACTAATATGCATTTATATCGTGGCCAATCGTAAAATTGATCACCTTATGATGATGTGACCAATTATTTTATAAAATGGTGTTATTTCAAGAATCGTTGAACCGATTTAGAAGAAATTTAGTAGGAACACAATAATTTGTGATCATGGCAAGGACATGGAGAAAGAAAAAAAAAAAGTATTGGAATTTATCGACTGAAGTCGCTGTTTGGAAGCAAGTTTGATCGTAGTATGGAAGTTTCCGTACCCTGCTCTATTTCCTATGTATTACTTTTCTCTATGAATGAAAGTCAACAAAACAGTGAAAGAGTTTACGAAAAATCGAATTGTAATACTTTTATTAGATTGCCTGTTTCGTGCTTTAATTGATAGCATCATTGCCCTTCATACATTCCTTGTTGTTGTATAAGAAAAATGTTATCATCACTTATAAAAGAACACCAAACAAAGCAAGCAGCAAAAAGAGTTGTCCAAGGTTTGTACTCAGAAGAAACAGCTAGAAGACTTCTTAATGGTTTCTCCCTCTTCCTAATTATTAAATTCCCTTATGTTTTTCAGAACAGAAACGCAAGGAATGTATTGCAGCTGCAAACGACTTAACACAAGCATTAGTAGATCATCTAAATGTTGGGTGTGTACTAACTACATTAGAAAATTAATACAAACCACAGAAAGTCATAGTACAAATATAAACTTAATATAATTGTAGTAAAATACATTATCACAGCATTAAATATTGTTCTAATAATTCCAGGGTTGCCCAAGCATACTTGAACCAGAAAAAGTTGGATGCCGAAGCCAAACTCTTGCATCAGGGTGCAATAAACTTTGCCAAACAAACACAACAGTGGCTGGCTCTTGTTGAAAACTTCAGTAGTGCATTGAAAGAAATTGGAGATGTAGAAAATTGGGCACGGAGCATTGAAAATGATATGAAAATAGTAACAGATACATTAGAAAGAGCATACGAAATGACTCAGGAGCAACCTAATACTAGTAGTCAATAGATAATTAAATTATTGTGTTTATCATGATGGTTTAATTTAATTTGAGATACCTATCCATTTAAATAAGAATTAACCCCTATGTTCCCTTCCCGGATGATTAGTATGCATAGCCGGGCACTAAGCGATTAAGCAAATACATAAAATAGACAAATTAGAAACACATTAATTTATAAACTGCCTTAGGCTTTCTGTAATGTTGGCAATTTTAAGATAATTCATTCTTTATTTCTAAAAACTACCTTCAACTATAAATAGTTTTGAATTTGCTTTTATTTGATTTGGTTTTTGCATCTGCATACGAATAGCAATCAAAAGAAAATGGTGGTAAAACGAAACGCAACTGACAGGACACAAAACGTCGACTGTCATTTTGGTCATTTTACTGACCTGCCAATTTTGGCTGTCACACACTGCAATACAGTTGGTAAAATAAACTTAATATCGTGGTTGCTAAAGTTCAAATTACTTTTCGTACGATTCTTGCATAAAAAAAATAGGAATTGTTCTTATCATTTCGTATCAAAACCTTATCATCTCGTTTAAATAATAGATATCTAAGAGCCAATAATAACTTTACGATTTGACCTAGTTCGTGCGCAAGTTATCTCTTCAGTCCTAATAATTAACATTAATAAACTGTTCGTTTCACAAGTGTCGTAAACAAGTTTCATTCTTCAATTGGTTCAGATAGGTTATTGTCATCTACATTAATGGCTCTGTAGATCTGTAGTAGCCGAAAGATAAAGTCGTTTATTAACTGCTGAGTAAGGCAGTCGTACAGAGTGCTAATTCTCTACATTCCACAAACGTTCAACAACTTGAGAACATCATGAACTCGTCAGATTCTACTCCTCGGGTGCTCTCCATCCAAAGCCATGTTGTCCATGGTTATGTGGGAAATAAAAGTGCTGTATTTCCTCTACAGGTATGTTTTGTAATATTATGACATTCTGTAGTAGATGCACTGCTTATTTATGTTATTAATATTATTTTATTTGTAATTATAGGTTCTCGGCTTTGAAGTAGACTCTATAAACACAGTGCAGTTCTCAACACACACAGCATACAAATACATTAAAGGGAATGTACTGAAGAATGAGGAATTAGAAGAATTAGTACAAGGTCTAACATTGAATGAGGTTGATTACTACACTCATTTTCTAACTGGCTACTCAAGGTCTCCAGATTCATTGAAGCAGATTGCCGAAATTATCAAGAAATTGCGCCAAAAAAATCCAAACTTAGTTTATGGTAAGATGGCTTAAAATGATTATTTCCTAAAAGTTATCTGTTATTTACTATTGTCGCATCTTATATTCTTAGAAACTGTTGAGTGATCAATTAAAATATGTGTACCTTAATTAACCACTCAACCTATGGGCCTATGTATTGTGGGAGAAACAATCAATATAATTACCATTAAAATGTATGATTAATTTATCAAAAGAACTTATCCAGAATTTTGTACATATTTTGAGATGCTCGACTTAAATTACAGTATGTGATCCAGTGATGGGTGATAACGGAAAAATGTATGTGCCGGAAGAAATACTACCTGTCTATCGTGACATAGTAGTACCATTAGCAGACATACTTACTCCAAATCAATTTGAAGCAGAGTTGATAACTGGCATCCAAATGAAGGACCTAGATGGTGCTTTGAAGGTTGTCCGAGCGTTACACGATAAGGGAGTCAAAACTGTAGTCATATCTAGCACAGATCTAGGAGATGATAAGACGATGATCGGAATTGCTAGCACCAAAGGTTGGTTATTATATTGATAATTATTTTTCTATTTATAATTAAATGCTAGTTTCTATTTATAATTATTTGTGGTAGTAACTAAAAATCATTAATATAAACCAGTCATCTCCAGGCAGCGTTAAAATAAGCAAGATATTTTGTATCATCGTTCATTTGGACTAATTCTTGTAACTTTCCATATGACCTTCATAACTTTATTGACAGTTTTCAAATCATTCTTTATCAGTTGCTAACCTATTATGTATTTACCTTACTCAATTTCATCATAAGAGGTAACAATGTAGCAATCAAACATTATCACATTTGAAAACAGGTGTTGTTTGATAAGCGTTTATGACTTCATGTAAATTAAAAACTTAAGATTTATAACCTACCGTAAACTCTTATTAGAACCACATAAAATGCTGTTTAGGTTGTTATGCTGACATCTATTGTACCTAGAGATTTACTTTCCTTTCTAAAATTTTCACAGGTTCCTGCTACAAAATTGAAATGCAAAAGCATGATGCCTCATTCACTGGTACTGGTGATCTTCTTGCTGCACTGTTCTTGGCCTGGTCCCACAAGACTAATAATAATGTAAAGCTGACGTTAGAGAAAACTATTGCTACCATGCAGAGTATCGTTAAGGATACCTATCAGAGAGCGCGAGGTGAGACGATTAACTAGTTAGGGTTTATAAACGCATGAGTATTTTTGAGTCTAAGGATACCTAGATGAAATTAATTTCTAGAAATAATGAGGTCTACTGACTTTACCGTATTTTGAGCTCACACTAGCGAATGACGTCCTAATTATATAGAGTGGCGCCACCTGAATGTACTGCAAATCAATCAGATAGTCCTGCTATCGCTTCACCGCTCGCTAGGCGATGCCATTGTCTTACGCTATAGTGCCCTGTGCCGTCAACTGGGTAAAAGTGTAGCCGCGGGATACGAAATCGCAGGCACAAGCTAGTGCTTTTAGGATAATATCTTATCTATGATTTTAGACGACAAAGGTATCACGTAAAATGCATCCTAGGCCTACTGATTTCGCTTAATATTATTTAATGTACAGTATGTTAAAGAAAGGAAAATTTATTTGTTGTATTTTTCCAGCAATTCAAGCAACTGGTAAAGTAACTCCTGCACTCATCGAGCTGAGGCTGGTCCAGAACAAGAAGGTTATAGAAGAACCTGTCATAGAAATAAATGCTATTGAAATAAAAGCACCGTAAGTCTGCATAATACAAATATCTAGCTTCATTAAATTATAGTGACTCTCGTAATACAGGATGATCTAAATGAAAAAAACTTATTCTTTTAGAAACCTCGAAAAAAGTAATACGACACTTGTGAAAGAGGTTCGTATACGCGTCGCCGAAACTTTTTTCATTGGTCACCGACTGCTTATGAGACCAAAATCACAGGGTATAAAAGATAGCCTTGTATACGAGGGGCCTAAACCTTCCTTTTACCCAAATCACTTTTATCTATTGATAAAAATCGTATTAAAATCTAAGCGTACGGCGACGTGAAAATTTTTAGGTCACCCTGTATAACGATTAGGAGTTACAAATACAATACCTACAATAGGTAGGTACTTGTAATCACTAGCAAAATTTAATTATAATTAAATAAATAATATTTAAAATTAAATGCCTATGGTCTAAGTTAAGACAATAATTAATTTTTAATATTGAACATTAGTCAGACAATAAGGTTTATTTTATTACAGAAAGATATTCCTCTGCTTTTACTGAAAATATTAGCATTCAAAACATATCAATGGGATTATTAATTTATACTCTTTATTTTTAAGTAATTATGTTAGTGATGATGATACTGAATTATTAATCAATTAGTAGTTTACATTAATTTATCTCACATCAGTTACTTTATCCCAACTAATATTATAAATGCGAAAGTAACTCTGTCTGTCTGTCTGTCTGTCTGTCTGTCTGTTACGCTTTCCCGCTTAAACCTCGCAACCGATTTTGATGAAATTTGGCATAGAGATAGTTTGAGTCCCGGGAAAGAACATAGGATAGTTTTTATCCCGGTTTTTGAAACAGGGACGCGCGCGATAAAGTTTTTCTGTGACAGACAAAATTCCACGCGGGCGAAGCCGCGGGCGGAAAGCTAGTGATGTAATAAAAAAACTGATTATGGAATAGTTAAACATTCATTGAATTTTGTTAGTATTGTGTATTCTGGAGGATTATAATACAAGCAGTAAGTTATATGCGGTTAGTTTTTAATGTTTTATAGTACAAATTTTGAAGGATCTAAGTACTTTCTGTAATGATAATACAAACCACGTTTCACCGTAGCTTGTTCAGCATTTATTCTGTTGTTCAAGCCTGTTCAATACAACAGAAATACCTTCATAAAGTAAATACATTTAATTCTAGGACCAATATTGTCTTCCGAGGATATCTCATAGAATTATCAGCGTACCTGTGATATCAGTCCATACCTATTGTTTATTTCGTTGTATAGCGCAGAATTAAATAGTATCTAAGCAATAAAATGTAGAAATGGCACATTTACTGTGTGTGTATTTACGCTTCGTGCTATGTTAACTATTTTGTTTAAATTTATATTTTATGTCAAGTTAATAAATGTTTAAAATGTTGATTTTATGTTTGTCTTTTGCCCAACGACACGCATTTTCTATTTTTGTTTCTTTTTTACATGGTCGGGTCGATACTGTCGATTAGATATGAATAACTTCCTATTCATTTGTTAGACTATGGTTAAAAAACCGTCCAATTCTCAAAATAAAACACCATAAAAAATAAATAATTAATATTAACATCACAAAATTTAAAAACTATTATCTTTTGCTCTTATACGCGACGACAGCGCCTACAATAAATATCAGCAGTATAAAATGAAATATCCAGAATATTGAATGGTAGTAGCGGAGAATCGTACTGGCGTCGGCGATGGCCATGCACGGCGTGAGGTAAATCAGGCAGAACATGCGCATTATCGTGAACCCGATGTTCCAAGGCATTTTCATCTGATAAACAGAGAAGATAAGGATCATAATCCTATGAAATGTTATTTAATAATAGGCTAGTTGCCTAAAAAAATTTTTTACTCCGTAATGTTTAATATCAAAAAATATTGGACACATATATTTTTATTTGTCAATCTAACAAATAATTACATAGTTATGGTGCGTTGAAGTTGCGCACGACGTCACAACGTGCGGCATTTTTAAGCAAGCGTTGACGTCACGGGCCTCTTCTTATGAACTTTGGGGGGCTTTATCTCTTTAAATTTTCATTAGTTTGAAAAAGTAAAAAATACGTGTAGAGTATTTTTTGATAAGTTAACTGACGGACTAATTAAAACTCTTGCTTTTTGACCCAGGCAACATCCCCATTGTAATAATGCTATTGTGCAGCTCTAAAAAAATCCTAAGTGTAAGACATGACTGACAATCATTGATTGCCAAAAAACCCGGTCGCTTTTACAACGCACCTCGCTGGAATGCGACTTCCTCGCACTCACCCGGCACGGGGTGACGGCACGCCGGGTGCGCAGTTAACTCGACAGGGTTGTAAAAAGATTTAATGTTTTCTATTCATATTGATATGGGACGTCTCGAGGAATGGGTTGGTAGTTATCGCTCGTACACAAAGACACACCCCTCTCCCGTCACGTGGCTGGTAAATATTAAAACTAAAAAGCTAAAGAATTTGTATGGTTACCTGGCCGGTAGTATTGTAAAGGGTGCTGTATTCTGCCTCCAGATGAATGTAGACCCACAGAGTGGACGAGACTATCATCTGCTGCAATGACGGCCCTTGCCATACCGCCCACGCAAAGAAAGAACCCGCGCTCCTGAAAAAAAAATATTGAAATAACAATTACCTACATACGCTGTGAATTTTAAAAAATCCCAAGAGTTGAAGTCATCTTCAATGCATTATCCTATTCATTTTAAAGAACCTATTTAATTTTCTAGATATTCTATCTAACCTAAAGTACACAATCTTCAAATATTTTAAAGTGTTTGTTACCTGACTTCTTTGCAGGCGTGGATGAGATTATTGTATATATTCGCCCTAAACCAATATCGAGACGGCATATCCCATCCATTAATGGTATCCCTCATTTTGGGCCCCATGAGCAATTTTTCATTTTGAAAGCATTTAAGCATTGCAAAATTATATTCCTGCTCTAGGGCCACATCGGGAGTGCTGGCACTGCAAAGTAAAAATTCGAAATAGCAAGACAAAATACTTTGTCGTCGGATAACGTTGTAAACGATGACTGAGTCTTATCCGGGTAGCGCAAGACCGTTCGTTGAGGAAATGTGTTAAAGAAGCCTATGTCCGGGAATGGACGGCGCACGTTAGGTTGAAACTACTTATAATTCTTGAACTGCAGCGACAGACCCAAAAGGACTCCGACTCATGTGACTAACGAGTCTTAGTCTTGAAAATAGACTCGAGTTTCTTACAACTATAAGCGACAATGACACCAGGTTTCACTGCAAAAGGTATTGAAAGTGGCAAGTACAAGGAAAAACGCAGAAGCGAGTGTTAACTTACACCATCTTCAGCAGACTGGGTCGTTTCGAAGGCCCATACCCTGGCACGGGTTCACACTTCGCCGGGTACACGCCGAACCCCGCCTCTGTGTAAACGCTCGTACACAGCATCATTATCATTTGGGAGTACAGAAAAAACATCACCAGCAGCGGCATGTTGTATAAAAAGCGGTAATCTGAACCGTGAATATTGTAGAAGTCGTCTTCGTAATAGTTCTATGGACAAAAATGTGTACTTCGCATCATTAAAAGTACCTACAGAAAAGGGTTCCCTTAATCCATAAATGTTCATGACCCCTGTACATGCCTCACTACAAAAACTTGGACGAATTAATCCAAGTACAAAAATTATCTTGGATGCTACGTCGTACTACACCTCCTACAGGAACACGTGTTGGGTACCTGCGCAGAAAACTTCAAACGTAGCAGAATGTATCCGATAGCACAAACCAAAGCTTTTTTTAATTTCTGCTCTGTAATAATTCTGCAGTCCCCCAGTACACCAAACGGAGCTTTGAAGTGGTCGTAGAAAATTTTCCACCTGTAATATGGACCTGAAAACAAACCGAAACAGGAAATAACTCCAATAATGTTAATCAAATATCCACAAAGCCATAAGTAACACTACAAAATGTAAAATTATTTCATTTAGGGTAACAGTACTCTTGGGTGTCAATGACACAATATTTCGTTTCGTGACACACCAGATTCTTGTATAACATTTGCACTCCAAGAATGTCACGAAATTTTTGCTAGCCGGTCCGAGCAATAAAGGACATCACACTAAATAAAATTAAATAGTAGGTATATACCTTTATGTAACCCAATAAAGAAGTAAGTGTAAGCAATGATATCCACAGCAGTCGGCTCTACAAGTGGTATGTCCGAGTCGCCCATAGGCAGCCTAATGGAACTCATCGACCTAGAGGCGCCTGTCTTTTCCAGCGAACTCATCTCAAACGCCAATCCCACCAGTCGCAAGGCTAAGGTCTGGTGCAACCATTTCACGTATACTGAACAACTCAAGTTGAAATGCAAGTATAAGAGGTAGGTCCAGGTGTACACCATGCTTATCTGGTGAACGTAGCTGAAAATGATAGATATTTATTAGCATAATATTTGTATACACAAAGCACCTAATAGTATTGAAATGAAGACGCTCTAATTTCTGTTTGACCCCAAAAGGTTGACTGAGAGAGAACGCCTTAAGGCATTTATTTGGTTTGGCTTTAGTACACAAAAGTACTTATTCTTATCTATGTACATAAAATAAAGAACGAAATGAATAAAAATGTACGTGTAGCTTGATAATGGTATAAAAGCCAAAAGGGGCATTTTTTAAAAGGACGAACCTACAGTATAAAGAGCTAAATCAGAAATAAAGATAGTATGTACTGACCGTTTATCACAACATTTGATTATAACAACGTTTCCCCACACCATCAGCACTGTATGGTATATGTGCTGGCCGCAGATCAGGCAAGCCACCAGGATGCCCAGGCCCACGCCATAGTTTCTCTTCATGTCCGCATTCTCGATCTTTTTGTAATAACTTGCCAGGGATATACATATGAACAGTGAGCTGTAGTACACTACTTCGTCTAGCATTGCAATTTGCTAACATTGATTTGAACTATTTGAGGTATAAATCCATTGAAATTTGCAGATTCACATCTTGTTTTTGTGTCAATTTTGAAATTTTGGGTCAGTTGACATTTTTGTCAGTACCAAAGACAATTTACCTCAGCATAAATTATCTCTGGTTATAAACTTATTGATAAGGTTTTAACATGTTTGTACAAAAAATATCTGTGGCACCTTCCTGTTTTGGGATCTTGATATCAAAGCAATAACAGATATCTAAAAACTTGTTTTAAAGCGAAATGTTTTTAAAGTGTTGTGATCAATTCATATCAAGTGTAAACCTAGGCGCAGACCACCAACTTTTTGTCGGCCGATAGTTCAGTCGGGCAGTTAAGTAATCAGTATGGGCATGTATGGAATTGCGCACATTGCACAGATTGATTCTTCATACAAATTAGAATCGCGCCCAACTATCGGCCGACTAAAAATCGGTGGTCTACGCCAAGTCTAAATGGAATAAAAAATATCAATAAAACACCATAATGATTAAATAAACAATTTACTACACATAATGTAGGTTCACAATAAAAATATTTCCTAAAGGAGGTATTGTAACATTGTCTGATGCAGATCTAGCCTGGTGCGCTTCGGACCTAGGTTTTATTAAAAATTAGCCTTCGAAATTTAAAATAATCCACACTACACGTGCTGGTTATAATATGGATGTATGAGTTTACATAAATAAATTAAAAATCTCTTAAATGCATTAAATTACCCACTATAGTAAGCTAATTTGGCATTCCGGAATGTTGAATATTTCCAACTACTATGATTGTCAAATACAATACAAAAACATTATTCAAATGCTACTCAATCAACTTTTGACGTGTTCTAGTGCAATCTACAGATACTTGTTATTTGCGTAAAACAGCAGGTATTTGTAAATTGAACTATTAACCCTAATTATTGTATTATAATAAATTGGAAAAACTGTCACCCATGGGTTATTGAATAGTTCTAAGTACACAATCACATTAATTCCCTCCATACAGAGAATGTTACTAACCTGATGCGACTACGCATTTAAAGATATATCACAATAGATAGAATGATTTCATCAAGAAATAAACAACTAACCTATAATACTGCTCAAACTATTACATTACAATTTTAATTAATTTCATTAAAATCAATGACTTTAGTGCAGTAAAATTCAATTGACTAGCATCTAATAGTTATCATGACAAGTACCAATAATGTCATTACAGATATTACATATAGCTATACTGCATCAACTAGGAATATGAAAATATTCTAAAAAATCGTAACTTAAATTCGTAATTACATTTGTCAGAGCAGCAAACCAATGCCGTTACAATCTAATTTAGGCATCATATTATTATTCTGCTAATGATGACGTAATATCCGATATCGATAATTATATTTATACATAATGTCTAATCTATTGCGTCAAACTATACTACGCTCAAAAGGTCGCCAAAGTAATCTATGAGAGTAAAGTATGTATTTCTATATACACGCGAACATGTTACATCCATAACGCCGGCTCACCCTGTTACCTTTATCGATAAGTTTCATATTGCTTTGCTTTCATCACGGCATGATATCCCATCTTTCAAGTTCTTTTAAATGAGTAGATCACCGACAGTGTTAAAATAAAAATATGCTTTAAAATCATATGGCAACAAAAGAAACAGTCGTAATGTAAAATATGATGAAACTAAATCTGCATCAGACACAGTGAAAGTTCTTTTCAAACGAATTTGCATTGGTTTACATATAAACGTACACAACATACAAAAAGTCATTCTGGCCATGCCATAATAAATTGTCTATGGAATAAATATTAGAACAAAATCCCACATAAATTCATGGACATTGAACATGCTTTAAAATTTATCTAAATATTGGCTTTACAACTATTGTTATATTAATCACCACACCTAAATGTTGTTAGAAAAGTATTGCCTCTAAGTATTATATGAAAGAGATTTTTTATAAGATCTACTTACATTTTGTCTCTATTTATAAATAACAATGAAAGTTATTGCAATAGTCAGTTTAGAACACAAAATGTGTGATAATATATAATTTAAGTACCGTTTAATAAATAACATTCATTACATTTTGTTCCAGATATTGAATAAAAGGAACCATTTTAACATTTTACCATAATTGCACGAGAGAGCAACCAGAGACAACACAAAACAAATGTGATACAATATTATAATTTGTGTGCAATAGTTGGAGGTGTAACCAAAGTGCTAGAGTTTCTAATTACAATATAAATCGATTAAATTGAAGCTTCTATAAATATACGCACAACGAACAATTCAATTTGTCAAAATCTTCAAGACATTCTAATTTCCGATAACCAGTTCCACCGTTAGTTACAATTTTTATTTTATTTCTATAATATTTTTGATCTATTGCACAAACACATAAAGGTAATCGCTATACTTATCTACTCGATTTATAAGTTATTATTTTTACAATACCTACTACGAAGTTAAATACAACATCCAGAACATTCACATCGATAATTACAAAAGTCAATCGGTGCAAATGATTACAAAAGTTTATTATCCACAATCGAAAGATCACTGTAGGTAAATGAAATATTTATACATTTTAATTTGATCGGTACTATCACATTAATTCGTACAACAATAAAATGCGAGCAGCATTCGTTTATTAATAATTGGCAGTCCTAAAAGTCACTATGGTTCTTAGAGCTATAGCGGGCCGCGGGAGCACTTCACTACGCGAGGGGCTCAAGCCACGCCTCCGTCACTCACGGCAAGCGCTGAATCGTCAGCGAGCCATACTCGACTTTCAGACAACGCACTTTAAGGTTCATTTTCAATAGGCTATCCATTACCATCACTGTTTATCCGTCCTGCGTCACTTCAAGCAATGCCGCACACAAAGTTTGATTCCGATTTCCATTAGCTCACTGAAAATGTGCCTTGATGCGCCCTTTCAGTATCGAGTTACCATCGTCAAAGGTCACTTCTCTGTCCGAGAATATAGATGTATCCGAGTAAACAGGGTATATGCATAATTTTTAAATTTGTACTAACTAGTCCATGCTAAAACGATAAGGTTTCTTTTCAAACACCTCTAAGAATTTAAGAGATATAATTTAAAATTTCGTGATTTTACATCACAGTTCGCAAATCGAACGACGCGCTCCATACTAAGATCTACTATAGCGCAAATTTTTTGGTGAAAAAGAACTAGTTCTTTCAATTGTGTCTTTTCGTTTATTGGCTGATTCAAATACTTTTCAGACGTCAGATTCGCGGTAATAGTTATTTACTATCATGACGTTCGAATAGTGCAGTTAAAGGTAGTTTGCTTAAATTGAAGTTTACTTAAATCGGCCCACAATCAAAAAGACCCAACTGAAAGTTTCTCCAATCGATTCTCGCCAAACCAACTATGCATAGACCTCATTTACGCACCCTAACTCACTCACTTGATGAGCTGGGCGGCGCTCTTGGAACGCCGGAACATCTTCGCGCCCTTATTGGGCGCGGACAGCTCGTGCTAGTTGCTCCCATTCGGGGCCCGCGCGAGCGCCGGCGAAGCGGCGGGCGGCGGCCGCGCGAGTGCTAGCGATTCTTTGGCGCCGTCGGTGCCGTAGATCTTGCCGGCCTTCTTGGCCATGGAAGCGAGCAGCTCTTGGGAGCATTTGTGAGCGGAGCGGAGGGAGAGCGCCCACTCTTTTAGACCGATCTCGTCCTGGAATTTTATAATAGTAAGTTTGTTTTAATAGTTGCAGTATTTCATCATCATCATCATCAACAGCCCTTTACAGTCCACTGCTGGACTATGAGCCTCCTCCACTATAGTGGAGGGTTTTGCCATAATCTCCACGCTAGGCAGGCGGGTTGGAGATCGCAGTTTAAAAGATTGATGTTTTTCAGAGAGCGCTGCTGCCCATTCTCTGTTTGATGTGTAGTCCCTAAGTCGCAGTATTTAAATGAAATAAAAGGAAGACCTGCAAAGCTTGTACAGAATTAACGCTAACCAAACTTAACTATGTTGAATTTATAATGCTAAATTTTGAATCATAATTTGTACTAAAAATAATCTGCAGTGGGACTTGAATTCATGTCTGTTCACTTGCTGCAACTACAAACTCAATCGTGGAGTCTACATCTCATTGCAATCCGCGATGGTTGGAGTTCAGCTACCACTGTCCTCATTGCAACTCAAAGGTCTGAGGAGACCTCCAGGAGTATCATCCCACGCTTAGCGCAGTTCTCAAGATGCAACTCAAGATAAAACACTTACCGTATTAGTGAGCATTATCTTGGTGTCGTTTCTAGTCCACAACACGATGCACTGCTCTCCCTTGATGGACACCAGATCAGAAGACACTTCCTCGAAGGTATCGAGGAGTATCATCTCAGGCTTGGCGCTGTTCTCAAGATGCAACTCAAGACACAACACTTACCGTATTAGTGAGCACGATCTTGGTGTCGTTTCTAGTCCGCAGCACGATGCACTGCTCTCCTTTGATGGAAACCAGGTCAGAGGACACTTCTTCGACGGTATCCAGGAGTATCATCTCAGGCTTGGCGCTGTTCTCAAGATGCAGCTCAAGACAAAACACTTACCGTGTTAGTGAGCACGATCTTGGTGTCGTTTCTAGTCCGCAGCACGATGCACTGCTCTCCTTTGATGGACACCAGGTCAGAAGACACTTCTTCGACGGTATCCAGGAGTATCATCTCAGGCTTGGCGCTGTTCTCAAGATGCAGCTCAAGACAAAACACTTACCGTGTTAGTGAGCACGATCTTGGTGTCGTTTCTAGTCCGCAGCACGATGCACTGCTCTCCTTTGATGGACACCAGGTCAGAAGACACTTCTTCGACGGTATCCAGGAGTATCATCTCAGGCTTGGCGCTGTTCTCAAGATGCAGCTCAAGACAAAACACTTACCGTGTTAGTGAGCACGATCTTGGTGTCGTTTCTAGTCCGCAGCACGATGCACTGCTCTCCTTTGATGGACACCAGGTCAGAAGACACTTCTTCGACGGTATCCAGGAGTATCATCTCAGGCTTGGCGCTGTTCTCAAGATGCAGCTCAAGACAAAACACTTACCGTGTTAGTGAGCACGATCTTGGTGTCGTTTCTAGTCCGCAGCACGATGCACTGCTCTCCTTTGATGGACACCAGGTCAGAAGACACTTCTTCGACGGTATCCAGGAGTATCATCTCAGGCTTGGCGCTGTTCTCAAGATGCAGCTCAAGACAAAACACTTACCGTGTTAGTGAGCACGATCTTGGTGTCGTTTCTAGTCCGCAGCACGATGCACTGCTCTCCTTTGATGGACACCAGGTCAGAAGACACTTCTTCGACGGTATCCAGGAGTATCATCTCAGGCTTGGCGCTGTTCTCAAGATGCAGCTCCAGCCGGTTGGGGTAGAGTTTCGCGTAGCGCGTCTGCCAGGCGCTGGCGAACGGACCGCCCAGTTTCTTTATGTAGCCGTGCAGTATGCAGTCCGATTCTGGAATGGGAGGGTGATTTAGTAACAAAATTAATTCATTCGCGTTTAACAAAGTACCACTTGAAGTGAGTGTGTGACAGCAAAAATAATGTTTTTTAAAAAACCAAGCTTCCTGAGGTTGACTAAAATTACATCATAGAGTTAAAAAAAAAATCGTCTTGTTGTTCTACGACATTCTGTTTCAACAGATAACCCTAGTAGCAGGTGATTAAAATACAATTGGTGAACCACACTGCAGTTATTATTCAATATGTCAGATGAAACATGGGTATTGATGACACGATAGCCGAACGGTGAAGGGGTCGGACTGGCCAACTAGAGAGAATCCAAATGTAGGTAAAATTCACTCTAATTAAAAACTGAACAACACTTCCATTCGGACGTCGATATTACATACTCACAAGGGAATGTTTGTGTTGTTTCAGTTACCTATGTTTATGTTGCATTTGTTCACAAATTATTATTACCTTTTTCGTCGGCGTCAAACTTCTGTTTCTGCTTGGCCTTCTTCTTCTGCTCCATCTTGTCGGCCTCCTGGTTGATGGTCTCGAACACTGTCTCTGCCACCTCCGACTGCCAGCGTTCGGATATGACCAGTGGGAAGTCTTTGTATTGCATCTGATCAGCTTCGGTCAACTGGAAGGTAAAGAATAAAAACGTTAAAATGGTCCACGTCCTTTTTCCCCGGTAATAATATTTTTATGTCGTGTAGAAAAATAAATTAGAAAATGGGTAGAATTACGAAATTGATAAATCACTCTTATTTTTTGTATACCATAAATGACAATCAGCGGCGGCGTGTACTTCTGGTGGTACACCTGCTGCCAGTCGATGCTGCGAAGGACAGTGTTCTTCCCTGCGTCCAGTTGTCTCACTAACCTTGATCCCCTTAGTTTAGTATCCTCCTCGTCGAAGCTGACGATGTCGAACGCGTCGGCCGCGTTCACCTTCCCGCGCGGTAAGATCAGCGGCGGCGTGTACTTCTGGTGGTACACCTGCTGCCAGTCGATGCCAGCGAGGAACAGTGCTGTTCCCTTCGTCCAGGTATTCCACTGACCTTGATACCTATAGTGTCCTCCTCGTCGAAGCTACCCTTGTCGAAGCATGAGCGGCGGCGTGTACTTCTAGTGGTACACCTGCTGCCAGTCGATGCCGCGAAGAACAGTTCCCTTCGTCCAGTTGTGCCACTGACCTTGATCCCCTTAGTGTCCTCTTCGTCGAAGCTGCCGATGTCGAACGCGTCGGCCGCGTTCACCTCCCCGCGCGGCGGGATCAGCGGCGGCGTGTACTTCTGGTGGTACACCTGCTGCCAGTCGATGCCGCGAAGAACAGTCTTCCCTTCGTCCAGTTGTGCCACTGACCTTGATCCCCTTAGTATCCTCCTCGTCGAAGCTGCCGATGTCGAACGCGTCGGCCGCGTTCACCTCCCCGCGCGGCGGTATCAGCGGCGGCGTGTACTTCTGGTGGTACACCTGCTGCCAGTCGATGCCAGCGAGGAACAGTCTTCCCTTCGTCCAGTTGTGCCACTGACCTTGATCCCTTTAGTGTCCTCCTCGTCAAAGCTGCCGATGTCGAACGCGTCTGCCGCGTTCACCTCCCCGCGCGGCGGGATCAGCGGCGGCGTGTACTTCTGGTGGTACATCTGCTGCCAGTCGATGCCAGCGAAGAACAGTCTTCCCTTCGTCCATTTGTGCCACTGACCTTGATCCCTTTAGTATCCTCCTCGTCGAAGCTGCCGATGTCGAACGCGTCTGCCGCGTTCACTTCCCCGCGCGGCGGGATCAGTGGCGGCGTGTACTTCTGGTGGTACACCTGCTGCCAGTCGATGCCAGCGAAGAACACGTGCTCTTTCACTTCGTCGGCGCTGGAAAGAGAGGGAACGAATTAGTATCTAAAAGGTGTTCTTAAATTATTTATCATAGCTGGCTGCACACATGTAAGTTCAAGTACAAGTCATTTTTATGAAGTTCCATCGTGGACGTAAGCCTTTCCCTAGAGAGCCACAAAGCATAATCGATTGCTTTTTATCCAACCGTTACTAGTTATCATTTTGAGTTCGTCGGTCCTTTGAGCAGAGCGTTTTACACTACTTTTGCCGAGCGAAAGTCCGGACAACGATAATGTAATGTGTAAGTAGTCTAGGGCACCGCGGTTAATGAAAGTTAAGAGTCGATATCCTCATTCGACCAACATATTGAATAACTAGATCAAATAGTTCCCATGTGACGTCATCGATGCAGACTCTATGATTGGCTTTCATATTAAGAGTACTTCCTCATTAAGAGCATTTCAACAACAAACCACTACGCCCGCATTTTGAATTACAATATTAGATACGAGTACTCTTAGTTAGGGAGGATCTTTTGTCCTGTTTGAGTTTTGTGGCTTTGTTTTAACGGGCAATAGTAAGTTCAAATTGATAAGTAGGTATTTGGTTCTCAACACAAGTGAATACTAGATTAAAAACATGCTTTGAGGTTCAAAACGTATAGCAAGTAAATTATTTTCATTGTTTTGGACCTGAATCAAGGGAAAACACTGAACCTTATTGTCATCGCCTTAAGGGTCAAAATATAAATACACTCACCCCCGTCCCTTGCAGCCGAGCCGCTTGTTGATGTCGCGCTGCAGCAGCCCCTCGAGCAGACTCTTCAGGCTTGGACTGAACGATTCCGGCAGCTCCACGTTCTGGAACACGTTGTAGTTCTATTGCAGACATGATTCCATCTTTACTCACAACATACGATCAAATAATAATAGAAAAAGTAAAGAGAAAAAAGAAATTCGATGATTTTATTCAGTAAGAGAAATATTTTCGATGATAAAGTATCAATACCTCCTTACTAACATATAAGTATCGTGGGAATTTGTGTCTTGTATAGGTGGCGCAGCGAGAGATGAGGCTACCAACACAAGCAAAGATTTGTGTTGCGTCTCTGACTTACAAGTACTTCTGTCTCGCTTGCAATTTAGCAAGAGCGAGGTGGCTGGTATATTCGATATTTGAACTTGCATGTGTAGTGAGTGTTCTGTATACATCATATTACATCAGTATAAATACCGTGTTTGCCTCAACTTTCGCTACGCGATCTATAGATTGTGGCAATATTCAAGTAAATTAAAAAGTTGTGTGTTAGATAGAAGGTATTGATACAGATTGAAAAGATAAAGTTTTAATGCTATTAATATTATAGAACGTGATTATGTGTGATATCCATAATGGTCCACAATGCAATTTCTTTGAAATATCAGCTTTAGTGACATAATTGAAATATTTTTTAGAACAATAGAAATAGAAATATAGTATTGCATACAATGTCTTTTGCTGATGAAATAATAAAACAAAGCATTCATAACAATAGCTGTACTAGAAAACCACTGGTGCAGTATCAGGTTTTGTAAATAAATGCGATTTCATCAAGATCAATGATATAGAAAACAATACACAATGAAATAGAAATAAAACGAGCTATAACATGGATACTCACATTTTTCACTGGGAAATTGTGCAATTCCCTACAGTCTTTATTTCTTTTTTATACAATTTCTGCACGTATTATTACTTTTTTTTAAAGTCATCCATTGTTGTATGTGGGATACACGATCAATTTAAAATGTATGTAATGGATGTTATGTGGTTATAGGAGATTTTCACACGACTTTAATATAATAATATAGCTTTCGTCACGCGATGCAATTAATCTTGTAAGTTTACTTTGTAAGGTTCAAGACTTTTTATACTATTTGTGCCGTCGACGGGATTAAAACTGTTTCATGAATCAGACATGCATCGGCATTACCTATTTGAATATACAGGGTGTTTCTTGTAAGGTGTCAAGCCGAAGGCAGGTGATAGGTGAGGACTAGACCTATCGATTTCACCCCCATGTATGTTTTACGATTTTTCATAGTTTAGAAGTTATCGTTAATTTTGTGTTTTTTTCAAATTGTATGACCTAGTAGGCTTTAAATTTTTTTATCTTTTTTTTGGGTCGACTTTTCTCAGATTTCTTTATTTTGACAGATTCCCTATTAATTGCAGATTTTTGAAAAAAATAATCAACTTCCTATCTTTGATGCAAGATACAAAATTTTTAAAAATCTGCAATTAATAGGGAATCTGTCAAAAAAAAGAAATCTGAGAAAAGTCGACCCAAAAAAAAGATAAAAAAATTTAAAGCCTACTGGGTCATACAATTTGAAAAAATCACAAAATTAACGATAACTTCTAAACTATGAAAAATCGTAGAACATACATGGGGGTGAAATCGATAGGTCTAGTCCTCACCTATCACCTGCCTTCGGCTTGATACCTTACAAGAAACACCCTGTATGTCCTTAATTGAATTTCTAAGCAGCGAGAAACCCAGTTTCCGTTTTTATTCCTTGTTAGAAATTCTATGGAACACTGCGCGCGGTGCACCATTGTGTGAAATTCGATTTAAATAATTGTATACCTCGGTGTTCGCTGTTGCGTCTACACTCTACATACTATAGTTAATAGTATGAAACTGAAGTACCAAGTATGAATAGGATGTTGAATATTATTGCTTCCAATATTGAAATTCTACACAGATTTACCTTCCCAAAACGATCTCAAGTTTTAGTATGGTTGTTTCATATACAACATATCATACATATTACATATACAACCAATACTACCTAAACCTGTTTTAAGGGTAGGTGCGTGACTTTTTATAAAATATTGGACGATGATACAATATCCAAATCCCTTCTATACTCATGCAAAAATCACACTATAAATTAGTACGTAGAATACACAATATCGGGTAGTCTACCTGACATCGCAAAACACTGTTTATATTAAGCTTGCCGTAAATGTAATTCATAAACCTGATACATGCCTTTTGTAGTTCTATAAAATGCTATATCTACGTCTCTTAATCAACTAACAAAGTTAGCAAAAAAATCATATTTACCATGGTCAAAGTCATCCTGTCGATCTCGTGCTTGTCCTTAGTCTTGTGCTGGCGGAACGGCGAGTGTCCCTTGAGCAGTTTGTACAGCATGCAGCCGAAGCTGAACCAGTCGGCCGAGGAGTCGTAGCCGGTGCCTTTGGACAGCACTTCGGGTGCCATGTAGCCGTGGGTGCCGCTATAAAAATGAAAATAGTCGTAAGTCTAATTTTACCAGAACTGGGCGTAGTGTAAATATATGAAGATTTTAGTTTTCAAAAGTTTCCGCTAGGGGCGCTGTACAATCAGTCATACATTTAATGTCACTTTTTTACGCAGTCGATATCGAATGCGTTTGACGTAAACTCACACTACGCCCCCTAAAGGTTCACGAATCAGTGTAGTTAAGGAACAAATTTTAGTGTACTGTACCTTCACAACTGAAGTCATAAAAGTGTCTGTATTACTATTGACAGTTTTTCAAAGCTTTGGTGGGGACCGATAGCAGACTGGACACTATTCGCAAATTTTAAAGTTGTTAACACGACAATTCTCAATTTTAAGTCTAAGTCTATTTCAAATATTATTTCCACCACCACAAATTTTTATTTCTACATAATTTTCGTGATAAACAGTATTTCTTTTTGTGTGGGTTCAATTAATTGTGTACGTAACAAGGTATGAAACGAAATAAATTGATGAACAACGTATTATTTTGACATGTCGGGTTAGTCTTGCAATAGATTATTTCCTATTAAAACTTGTCATAACAAAACATTTAAAGATAAGATACTTACACGCTGGCATGTGGCTTCTTCTTGGAGAAGTCGCAGGCGAGCCCCAGGTCGGATATTCGCACGTGCCCGTGCTCGTCGAGCAGAATGTTCGCCGGCTTCAGGTCTCTGTATACTATGTGGCGCTTGTGCATGTGCTCCAAACCTAGACAGGAAAGAAATAATAAAATATAGTTATTGGATGGATTATTAAAATGAGGATTTCTTAATTGGCGCCACTGTTGAGTGATAGGACCTTACTGGAAAGTGACGCCAAACTGGTGCTGGCAAACGAGATGCCCTTCTACCACTTCAGCGTTCAGCCGTTCGTCACTGTCTTAGCCTAGCCACAAGCAAGTGACAGAACCTTACTCGAAAGAGTGGCGCCAACTGGTAAGCGCACTTAAGGAAACCATAATTGAAACATTGGGTTATTGTTAATTTGCCACAAAGTCGTCGCACTTTTGTGGATTTCCGATTTCCACAATAACAAAAAGTCAAATTAATTTGTCACGAGGCTTTTATGAAGTGTGATGAATTTGCACAAGTGTTTCCCTGTGACGAGTAATCGTGGCAAATAGACAATGACCTTATTAGTATTAGAGAGCGAAGCCGGCAGTTTCATCATACATTATAATATAACGCCGCTTGCGCTACCTAATTTACCTCCGGCGGAAAAGGGGGTATTCTGTTTGACATGTGTATCGGTTTAAGTTAAACTGTCGCTGTGCACCTATGTATCTGCCGACTGCCACACTGAGAGCTGTGGCATCGTTGCTTCAGATGAGTCAATAAAATTTCGACTTCAAATGCGACTTAATAAAAAGAATTCATAATGTGTCAAGAAAGTGTTCAGCCATGAATTTGAGGTAATGCATAATGGCGATCCTAATCTACCATCAAGATTTTATTTAAACCCACACAATAGAAGAACACACCCATAATGATTGAGCCCATAGATTGCTATTATACTTGCAACGGTCATTTGCAACCCATACAGAGTTATCTACTCCCGCTACTGTAAGTATGCATTGTGTGTGTCATCGTCATGATTCCTGCTATTCTTAGTGCCTAGCAAACAAGGTCTATTCCTTATCGCCATGTACTAATTCTTGTGCTAATATTAGCCTAATAGTAGGGAATTTAATGCAAGAACCCCTCCACTTTGGTATAGAAGGCTCATTTTTGCAACAGTGGTTCTTTGGGTGCTCCTGAGTGGATTTCCGTCGGTAGACATCGGGAGCCCCCCCTGTGGTAGCAGGGGGAGGGGGGGCAAGTTTCCTTCCGCCACGCTTCACTTTAAGGCCCATATCTTCAAAACTATGGGTATTAGGGCAAGTGTGGTATCATTTTCGGATAATTAAAGGATGGCGAATTCATTTCTAGAACAAACTTTTTGCCTTTTCATACAAAAAAATAGAAATATTGAGTAAAATTCACAAAAACCAAAAAGTATTTTTTTAAATAAACCTACGCTATAATATGTGTGCACTAAAGAACAGGGGTGTAAAAAACGCAATATTTACATCCTGATCCACAGCCAGGCAGCACTCAAAGTAAAAGCCATCGCCTCAGTGATTCTAGATGCAATCGTAAAGATGAACAAACTCGGAAGGCATGAAAGTGTCCCTGATGTGGGATATCTGGACATACACGGATCAAATGCAATGGGAGAGCCGACAGTCTAGCGAAACTAGGGTCAGAGGCGATACTTACCTTTATCTAACGGCATACCTCATGGCCATAATATGGTCATATCCAAGAAGCACAGTGCTGAATGGGAAAGCTCCAACGATATAAGATAAGCCTCTCCAAATCATTCCTAAAGGGAAACACAGGGTCATGGAGAAAACTCATTAAGCGGAAATAAAAGGTACCTAAGCCCAAGCAATTACTGGTACGCAAACTGGGCATTATGGAACGAACCACATGTCCCACAAAATGGGCCTAACAACAGAAGACAGCTCTCGAGCATGTGGAATACATGTGGCATCCATGAATCAATATCTACTGTAAGGATGGGTCTGCTTGGGTCAGCATATCCGGCATCAGAAGACTTAGAAGGCTTTCACTCAGACGCTTAATTCACCTAATGAATAGGATTTTTTTGGATGATAGGGAATAAAAAAATGGAGCATAAAGATTCTAATGGGTCGCTGTGGACTACGCTTAGACCTAGCTTAGCTTAGCTTAGCTTAGGCCGTACATAAGATAACCCAGACAGCAGCAGCAGCTTTGTATCAGTCTTGGCTACTGGCAGTATATCAAGGGATTCGCGTATAGGATCAGGTGCAAGCAACCGACTCGAGTCTTCCCTTTACCCGACTGGTTGGGGGTGGACCAGAGTCGATAGCAAGATGGAGCCTACATGGACCGGTTTGTCCGTAGCTGCCGCGGCTTGCCTGGAAATGGTGAGATGTAAGTGCAAGAAATAGTGCAGAAGCTGGTGCTGTCTGAAAAAAACAACTAAAAAGGTCACAGCCGTAACCTTTGTGCTAAAAATATCTCCCGTACTATGATTGTGAAACCTCATTTTCCTCACATTTACCTTTCCGTTAAATCACTGGTACAATAGTATGTAGAAATAAGTGTTAATTAAAATAATAATAATCATTAAGACGTTTAGACAAATTAAAGTTCTTTATTTAGTGCTTTCTTCTTATGATATTTTCAATATTAAAATGTATTTAAACTATTTTCAACCTTATGTCTCACACATAGAGTTCAAAATCAATTGACGAAAAAATACAAATTATGGTAGATTGATGTGCCAGCAACTCTAAATAAATTCTAAAATAATAATCCTTGCTTGCTTATGAACCAAATAGTATGAATTCATGGATAAAATAAATATTTTTTTCCGATGCGCAATAAAATTCGCCCGCTGTGTCCTGAAGAAAAAATTTTTTTCACCTACTTTTTGCGAAAAAAGTACCATACAATGTTATATTTTTATAATCCTGATAAATGTAGCTTTCAGGTCATATTTTTTTTATTAGATTATCTCCAGTGGTTTAAAAGTAAACGACGTTTATTTAAAAAAATACTTTTTGGTTTTTGTGAATTTTACTCAATATTTCAATTTTTTTGTATAAAAAGGCAAAAAGTTTGTTCTAGAAATGAATTCGCCATCCTTTAACACTAGAAGTGCCGAAGATTACGACCCCCCTAAAAGCGCCGCTGGGTCAATTTTGTCCCAGCATGTATTTTGTAACATTTTTTAGTTTCAGGCATGAATATTATGGTTAAAACTATTTGTAGTATCCTTAAAAAAAGGTTTATCTATGTGGTTAAAACAGTATGTTATTATTTCTTTAAAAATATAAATGTATTCAATTTTAATTTGGAATTATTAAAATTTACATATTTTTGGTTTCATTTAAAAATAGTCACATATTACATGGTAGTATACTGTATTAAAATAATGAAATTACTACTTTAACTAGTCATTATTATTTTTAAAGAAAAAATAAATATCTTAAAAATTATAGTGCACATTTTGCACAAAGTTTTTTTGTATGGTTTTTTATCTATCTGGTGTACTATGTGTTTAGGAATTTCTATAGGTATGGTTATTTTTCTGTTATCTGTACACAACCAATGAAGTTTTTGACCAATTACAATGAAAAGTATGTACGTTTAATCTTCAAAATTTTATAAGTCATACATTTTAAAAATGTATCAAATCATACAATGTATGAACTGGCTTATGTTTAGAGGCCATCTTCCTACTAATATTATAAATGTAAAAGTTAATAAATATTGATGAATTGAAGGATCGATGGACTGATGAATGGATAGGATGGATGAATAGGTGGATATATGCCTGGAACTTAAACTAAGTGAGTATGGATTCATAGTTAGATCGATAGATGTTTTTTCACTCTTTTACGCAAAAAATACAAAGCCGATCTTAATAAAACTTTGCAATTTTATTGTTAATACTGCAGAATAACATAATATAGGCTATAATTTAGAATAATATTCAGTTATTTGGTCAAAAAGCAACGATAAGTGTCAAGAAATTAGGTCTTTCTATGATAAACTTAATTTCTCACGGGTGAAGTCACAGGCAAAAACTAGTACAATATATTTACATTTCTGCATTGTCACGAGTCACCTAAACTCTCCTCACCTCTCCACTTTCGTATCTCTTCGAAAAAATGACTTTTCATCGAATTATTGTGGCAAATACCAGGGTGGGACAAAATTGACCCAGTGGCGCTTCTAGGTAAAACCGATTTTAAATTTTTTTCTATTAATGTTATATTATCAAAAACATTAAAAAATTATAAAATTCAATAAATCAGAAAAAGTCAAAAAGTTTCATGAACTTTCGTTGAAAAATAAAAAAGTTAGAGCTGATCAAACTCGCGAGTGGGACAAAAATGGGACGGCGGCCTTTCTAGTGTTAATTATCCGAAAATGATACCACACTTGCCCTAATACCCATAGTTTTGAAGATATGGGCCTTAAAGTGAAGCGCGGCGGAAGGAAACTTGCCCCCCCTCCCCCTGCTACCACAGGGGGGGCTCCCGATGTCTACCGACGGAAATCCACTCAGGAGCACCCAAAGAACCACTGTTGCAGAAATGAGCCTTCTATACCAAAGTGGAGGGGTCTCCATACAAATCATTGCACTAAATTCCCTACTATAACCATTCCAGCTAGTTAGTCCTCGTTGTGGCAACGCTACGGTGACTGTAGTGCATAATTGAGATAAGGGATCTACGATTCTCATTAGGTCCAATTTAAAGTCCATTAAATGGTCTTTAATTGATGTATGTATTAGGTGTCGCTTCCTAGTACTGTTCCTGTGCATTCAAAAGTTGGTTGGAGAAATGTCCCAAATATTGAATTTCATGTAATAAATGACCTGGATCTATGGTAAAATTTTTTAATAGTAGTAATTATGTGTACTCTGAGTGTGTACTGCACAATAGCCCAGAGCGGTCGAAGAAGATTGAACCAGCGTTCTTCGAATTTCGTATCGGCTAGTCAGACAGACATCGTTGGGCTGTTGTCGCATTGAATCATGTTTTACATGTCGTTTATATTATAATACGCTTCTCTATCGTGTTTGTTTGTTGCAACAATTGATGTCACAACCATGACCTGGTGTCAGACTTAGGCCGCTTTGACATTAGGGTGACAGAAGCGCGATAGTGGCGTTTTTCAAGCAATTTTCGGCAGCGCATCTGTCAAAAAAGTCGTCTAAATGTAAAAGCGCTCTTAGACAACCTCAACCGTATCGAACTTCCAAATGCCAGGTTAAAACTACAGCTAATCTGATACAAACCTAGGATGACTTCAGCCGCGTAGAACTTCATCTCAGCCTCGTTGAAGACGCCATGCTGCGACAGGTGGTAGTGGAGATCGCCGCCGTTCATCAGGTCCAGGATGAAGCACAGTTTGTCCGGCGTGTGGAATGCGTACGTCATGCATACGATGAAGGGGCAGTCCACCTGAAACAAAATGACAATCGATTAACCCTTCAAGCCTCGCGAATCGACAATAGAAATCAATTGTTACGCGGTCTTATGAAACTACTTTGGATTTGATGGGTTAAAGTACGGGTTCAAACTTTAAATTACGACGGAAACAAAATTAAATGAGCATGAGCATTGAGCATTTATATCTGGAATCATGGGCGTTTATGTAATGTTTATTTATTAATACGTGTCTGTTAGTGTGCAAGTTCGTTAAAATCGCCTATAAGTAGTTACCTACTGTGGTTAATTTGGAAATAATTAAAATTATTTGTCTTATTTATTATTACGTCGTATTTATTATATTATTATTAGTCTTTTGGAGCCATTTTCAGCTCTTTTGGAGTAAAATAAAGCTCTTCTATTTTGAAAGAAAACATTTCCTAGTATCTTATTTGTTGGCGACTTTACGTCATAATGAAATTTATTTATACTCTTCAATTCGTTTAACAGTTTGAAAGATGGAAATGAAATGTGTACATTCATATTTGCGAAATGAAACTGGGGAAACGGCATTTCTATTTTCTACTGAGTGCGCACCACAAAGCGGTTCCTGTATTTGCAAATAAATTCTGTACGCAGCACGATGAACTCTTTCTGTATTGAATACGCTGCAATTCATATTGCAAGGTTTGCAGGGAAATATCCCTTTTATCTTGGAATGAATACGTTACACTTTACAATAAATGAATAAGTAATGAAATATGAATATTACACAGTTATTACATTTATAGTACATCAGCCGAACCCGTGTAGACTACCAGTTACTGTGAGTGAGTTTATCAATATTTATTTGGCTCGAAATATCTTGTTTGTCTGATCTAAAAAGCAAGTTAAATTAAAACTACGATATCGCTTCCTCCATTGCGAAACTCATTTCGGGTTTCCTTAATATTTATCGTTCCAGTTATACTAAAACGTAGGTACCTACTTGGAAATTGGCACAAATCGAAACGGGCGAAGTAAAAGCTACCGATATAGTTTAATAGTTAGCAGGTACCCATTATTACTATTCGTAAAATAGCATGAAAGGTAGTAAAAGTGAAATAGCAACGAGTTTCGGACGACGTCTGTGTACCCGTAATAACAAAAGTTATGTATGTACGTTTGAGGAAATGTTTAATCGTACTACAATAATGCATTCCCAACATTTCCCCGACAGGAATGAAAAAGGAAAATGCTGAAAGTATTACGGACGAAGAAACGAATAGAGAAAGGATTTATGGCGAAAGTAAACCGCAGGATTATAGAAGCTATTAAGGAACTTAGGCAAAACAAATCTCTTCCTAGCCACTAAAGCGCACGTCCTTAATACTTGAGCGTATCTCGTAAAGCTACATAGGTAGTGGAGTATAAATACAGTATCTTGGAGCGGCGTTCGCCGGCGAGAGGAGGCGTGTCAAGGCAAAGATAACTACGATTCCCGATGGTGTTATTTGTACGACACAGACGATGCGGCGCCCGCCCGCCACGAGACGACCGCTCATAAAAGATAAGCTGACTCGCAGGACGAAATCAAGCAAGTGCATTATAACGCAAGTTTAAACGAAATCCGGCGATTATCTGCGTGAACGAACGACAAAGCGATATTCGATGCGTCGTCGTTTCCACTCCAACGCCAATTTTGGGAGACCGGGAGACCCATTAGCTTTGCAATGTGCGAATGAACAGTAAAGCCGGTGACTCACGTGCAGAGACAGTCTACTAAACCTACGTGTGCCAATAAAATTTCTACGAGTTTTTAGCTCAAAGATAAACATCAGAGATTTACCCGTCAAATTGCAGACATTCGGAGCGAAATTGTAAAAACACAAACTGTTTCCGAGTTGGAAAACGGGCTCGAGTACGATAAACGTTTGGCAATGTACATTATGGCTGGCAAAAGCGAATCTTGAATTCGGATTGCTACTATCAAAGACGTCCAATCTGACTAATGTCTCATAAATAAGGTAGAAAAAATAGTGGTTTCATGCGAGGCTATTTTGATCAAAGATTTTACTAATCAAGCTTCGACGAAAATCCTAATGCCACGAATGGTGTTCGACGACAAAATCCGATCGACTTTACGCCGGACACCCATAATCCAATATCGATAAAATTTGTCATCCGCATCGGCCCGACGCTATAAATCCAAGTTTGCTTACGCGTAAACATAAAATAAAAACGTTTATTAGGTACCACACAACATAAAGTTCCAAAACAAGGCCACAGTAAAAGAAAATTCATGCCAAAACTTATTGACTACATATAAACGTAGTAACAGAACGGTAGACAGTTTCTCGTTTTATAAACTTTGCCGCGGATACCGACGGCCTTGTTAAACTTTAGGGGAAACCTTTCAGGTCACGAAGAATAAAATGGCACTTATGTACGAATGTGTTATTCCGGTTATTTCTACCTACGCGTTTGTGTAAGCTTGTCATTGTCGATCGCAAGTTCGATGTAAATCGGAAGCCTTCATAACTCGCATCTCAGAGACTTCTACAATTCTGACCCCAATGACCCTCAAAACAAATGGGACAGAAGGGAAACTTTTCCTGTTTGTTATACATAAGTGCTATTGACTTAAAATAAAGCTCTTACAAAGTTACATGCGAAATAAGATTGGAGATTTTCTGGAGTACCGTTTCAAACAAGGCTAAAGTTGTAGCTATTATGTAAGGATTCTGTGACTACCGAAAATTAGGAATCTCTAAATCTCAGCAAAGCGTAGGATTTATTTGATTACAGCAAACATTTAGATTTCACACAATGTTTGTTTCTCGATCCCGACTAAAGTATGAAATAGTTCCCCATTGCTTTAATAATTAAAAAAACAGATCATCGGTTGGAAATTGTAAAACAAAATGCAGCGGAAGCGGATTGAACTACGACAAATCGAGGGCGATCCAATTCGTTTCAGTCCAATTGGCTGGATATCGTTTATGTTCCCGATAGCATATCGCACACTTATACATATACGACGTCTGTATTGTACTGAATCAAAGCAGATTGCAATCGATAACCAATCTGATTTCATTGTCATTGGTGTATAAAATTCATAATGCAATTATGACACTTCAATAACTATCGATGAGATAGACGGGATTTTGCCAATAAAAGCATTAAGCACAGGGTGGAAAGTTACAAAAATTTAACAAAAACATGTTTTTAAGAACACTTGACTAGAACACTTTGCGTAGATGTACGTACGTACGCATTTGACATTAAAATCATGGAACAATTACTTGCTGAGCTAACAAAAGCAGAAAAATGGTAACCCATTAAATAAATGAAAGGTGATTATTACTTTTAACTATATTAGTAGCGTCTTGGATATATTCTAGAGAATTTGTTATTGGCTGAGGTTTGTTATTATTATACTCGTTTTAAAAGTTACTTTCCATTATTGCAGCTTCATCGCTTATGTGAAGATTAATCGGTCTCACTTCTAGAATTTTAGCAAAAACTCAGGATGTTGATTGACATGCTACTCGTAGATTCGTGAGGGATCGCATAAAGTACTGAATATTTTATGACAGGACTGTATTATAATACACAATTGGTATTTACGAAACAATTTTGTCGATTAAAAGTTTTGTTTGCGACATCGCGTTTCATAGGTAGAGCTCACGAAATGGGTTAACTCTAAAGTAGGTAAGTTCCGAAGTGTATATTGAATTGAGTTCCATTTTTTATCTGGCCTAAATATGTCCAACCGCACTGATACCTATGTCCAAAACATTCCGTAGGGATTACAAAACAAAGCCCGTAATCCGCAAATGCGATCAAATAACTGCCTGCACTAGTTTTCATGCTAATATTGGTTGTCGAGTAAAAATATACCTAGTTTTTAATGCAAAACCATTTCAGGTAGGTAAGTTACTTAATGATTGAATGAATGTGGTGTTTAATTTACCATAAATAAGTATTCATTCATTTTCATGAATCTAGAATGGCATAAGTAACTCGTTAAAAATAGCGTCCGCATATCGAACAATATGAATCATCTGATTTTAATGTGAAGTGTTTACGATTATCAGCGGTGTTGGTCGAAAAATAATTGAGCTATTCGATTCTTTTAAATATAGCCATGAAAACGCGATGCAGTACCGAGTTTAAAACGAAAGCACAGAGTGTTCGAGGCGAAATATGTCGAAAGTAACTCATCATAATAAGCATAGATAGACGTCACGGTTACGACACAGCCCTTTTACTCGCGGAGTTTGCGCACTGACGCTCCTTCCTTAACCTATTTTGTGTGGGGGCATAATTCGGGACTTCACTCGATTCAAGACTGGAACCGTATCGACTTCTAGAGATGAGTATGTATTTACTGCAGACCGTTGCCTCTCCACTTTACGACTGTTCCTTGGCGGGAAAAAATCATTAACGTCCGCGTCGTTGCCTCGTGCACACATTCAATTACTGGTTATTCTTTGTACAGGACGGCGACCCCTCGAGTAATGACAAGGTCCCTTCAATAAAAAGGCCTGTTCTTTTTAGGAAAACAAAAATAAATCCTGATCCGGCGACCCTGGCTTCGCAGTCGCTTCTTATGTAAAACCAAATTTAAGCTTTACATCATTCGCGTCTCTTAAGTTGCACCATTAATTCTGGTTTCACGAAAACCTTTTGTTCCAAAATCCATTTGAACAATAGAATGAAAATTTTCATCGTATATTTTTGTGTTAATGGAACCAGCAGATGTTTCCGATTCAATAAGGTAAACAAGTTAGTTTCACCTGGGTCATGTATTTTTAAACGCACCGTTACGCAGTTGATGATATCATAATCATCAATGGGGTTCTATTTTAGATATCAAAACGGAACGGGAGATGTGTTTTTCCTTTAGGACATCAGCCTCAGTTAGAATGTATACCAGATGGTGATCATTAATCACTTTGGTGATATGAGTTAATAGAAACATGAATTCGAATAACTTTTTGGACTTTTCAAAATAGTATTATTATCACAAATTATAGTGACCACTCGTACCGTAACGTAAATGATACAAGAAAAATCACTGACGAAGATACTCACGTACATAATAATAACATTCTTAAATTCTCAAACTTTAGCCAGTGAAATTTGGCCTGAATAAAATTTCATCAATAACAAAATTACTATAGCGCATCATTTGCCTCTTACGAACAAACAAAGACTTAACTCTTAAGTACCATTAGTATACACGTAAGTGAAGATCATATTACATTCATCAAACGTGAGTAATAAATTGAATACATGATCAACAACGCTAATGATATTGTTAATTTATCGATCAATTTGTAAATGCGTAATTGCTTCGAAGCATGATGATAAATGTTAACAAACGTCACATTCGTTAAGTGTTATCTATTTTGTTGTTTGCTGCGGTGAAAATTCCTTTCTTTCTACAATATTATCAACATTATTTAGATTAATAAATATATTTTTTTCACAACTTTTAACCCTTTTAAGCTACTCAACGCTTATATTGCTCAGATAGCTGGTAGTTTAAATAGCATCACCGGCAATACGTCGGCAACAATCACATTTCCTTTGATGGCATTGTCACGGGACACATAGGTTAACGACAGCGAGGATGTTAAATATCCTATTCTGACTGAAGCCTATTAAATTTCTAACAAACGCTAGTGCACTCGCTAACAAAGAGGGCTTTATAGGGCAAATTCTGCGCTCATACAGAGTTTCATCGAATATTCACTTTAACAATAGCTTATGTGACACTGCGACGTTACATTGATTTTTATTCCCGCAAAAGTGAGAGATAGTTACTATTTAAATGAAATGATGATGAAGCTTTCAGAAGGTAAGGTATAATTACGTGATTGGGGAGATTGTAAAATAATTATAATAAACATTTTTAAAATTTGTAAATCTGCTGGCTAAAACATCTCAGTAGGTCAGCAGTTGCACAAATAATGTTGTTTAATTTTAAACTAATATAACTTAAACCACAATAAAACAATAAAGACATTGTTTAATGTACAGCACATCAGACTATACATTTCTTTTGGAAAAATAGCATCTATTGCAACAGCTACATACTGATGCTGTTACTTAATTTGATTTATTAACTAGGCATGTGATTTTTAACAGGCATGCATATTAGTTGCCGTGCCGTGCGTTAACGATACTGTTAACAAAAGTATACTGATAAAAAAAACAGAACATGTAATTTTAGTAAATAAATACGCCCACCCGTATCGCTGAATAACGTGGAAATATGAATACGGATTACATTTGCGAATGATTATGTATCATAGTTAATGCCCATAATAAAAACATTTCATCATTGAATTTAGTAATTTTATCCGGAAATAATAGAGATGATATTTGTATATTTTATGTTGTTTGTTGTGGGATTCGCTTGCGGACACACAATAGACTACGAATAGGTATTCCTTGAATCGCATTGTTGCACGATGTTTGGATACGGAGTGTAAGAGGAAACGTCGAGGAAATGCGATTTAGTTCGCTACTGTCTGAGATCTTAGTATGTTCACCAAGACAAGTTTTTTAAGATGTTTCATAGTATGGCTCCGGACAGAGTCCATACAGCCTATTTCTTCGTTATTTTTTAACTATTTTGCTTAAACATGTCTGTGTTCCTGTACCATGATGGGAATACGGGGTGCATAAGGAAATATCAAGGAAATTCAACTTGCCCCGGTACTGACTACCGAGATCATAATCCGTAAACGTGAACATCTAGCAAGCCCAAAGTATTGACACAAGTTCACTTAGACATTTAGCTAACCATACAGGGTTTATGCTTAGACATACTTCAAGATCGGTATGCATGTTGATGAATACGGGGTGTATGAGGAAATGACAAGGAAATGCGACTTACCCCTGTACCACAAAATATAACAGAAGGTAAACTCATGTATGTACCTCGCTTTGCATACCTCTCTCGCTCGCACGCTCGGCCGTCGCGCTAGGGTTGTCTGTCATGTGTTGCGTTTATTTCGTTGTGATAGGAAAATGTTACTCTTAATATTATGGAAGAGAGACAATAACAGATATCCACGTATACTTATGCAGTTATACATATTTAGTACGTTATTATAGTAATAGTTTGCAAACAAATACACGAGAAAGAAGTAGTATTTAGTTGAGTGGTTGACACTATTATCCAATAATTCCTAAAACCTCTCTAAAACAATTCGATATTCCTAATAATTGAGTTGGCTTTCAATTTGTCAACGTTATACGAACTATTGAAATACAAATAAATACCTTACTTACCTCCCGGAATCAACTGTTAGTTTCAAAAACGAAAATTTAGTTTTTAATGTTGAGTTAAAGAAACCGTCTACTTAACAAATGTTATAATACCCCTTTTTTATTGTTCACTAATTTTCGCATAAACAAAATAATTTTACGAACGCGTGAGCAGCGTCACTCAAGCGAACGCAGTCGCGCCTCGCATTCGTCCAAGACAGTCTTGATAACGCGTACGTGAGCGGTGTCTATGTGTGCGTGGCTCGAGCGCGCTTAGTATGGAGTTTACCTTCTGTTATATTTTGTGCCTGTACTGTTTAGCGAGAGCGTAATCGGTTGGTTAAACGCGAGCAACTAGCTAGGATCTAGTGCAATGTATTGACTCAAGTTCGCTTAACACCTATCTACATATTATACAGAGTTTGTGTGTGCATGTTGATGAATACGGGGTGTAAGAGGAAATGACAAGGAAATTTGACACACCCCGGTACTGACTAGTGAGAGCACTATCATTTCTTTGCGCACGAACAACATTCTGCCCAAAGTATTGATTTGAGTTCGCTTGAATCTATGCACTCAGAAGATGTGTGTGCATATCTACCCATTATGTTGTTTAAGAGACGTCGTGGACGTCCACCTACAAGGTGGACCGACGACATCGTAAAGGTAGCAGGGAAGCGCTGGATGCAGGCCTCTACCAATCGATCAACGTGGAAAGCATTAGGGGAGGCCTATGTTCAGCAGTGGACGTCCTATGGCTGAAATGATGATGATGATGTCGTTTAAGCATGTTTATGAGTACAGGGTGTAAGAGGAAATGACAAGGAAATTCGACTTACCGTACTGACTAGTGAGGCATAATCCGTTGGTTAAACGAGAGATTCTAGATTCTAGAATGTATGTATTGACTGACACCAGTTCGCTTGCACATTTCTATCTATATCTACCCATACAGGGTTTGTGCGCATGTTGATGAATACAGGGTATAGGAAATGACAAGGAAATTCGACTTACCCCTGTACTGACTAGTGAGAGCATAATCCATTGGTTAAACGCGACCATGTAGCCCAAAGTATTGACACTAGTTCGCTTAGACATATCTACCTACCCATAAAGCTATCTGCAGAGATTATGTTGAATGTTGATGAATACGGGGTGTAAGAGGAAATGACAAGGAAATTCGACTTACCCCGGTACTGACTAGTGAGAGCATAATCCGTTCGTTGAGCGCGAGCGTCTCGCCCTGCTTCATCTTGATGCGTTTCTTGTCGAGGCACTTCATCGCGTACATCTTGCCGGTATCCGCCTTCCGACAGCCGTACACCTATTTTGCATAGAAAATGTATGTTAATTTGTGGAATAATAGACTAATATTTCGGTGTAAAATTCGTGATCTAAATATATAAAAGGAGAAACTGACTGACTGACTGACAGATCAACGCACAGCCTAAACGGCTAAACGTAGGCACTTGAAATTTGGAAGGGACGTAGCTTAGGTACCGTAGAGGTGCACTAAGAAAGGAATTCCCGAAATTCGAACGGGAAAAACGGGATTCACGCGTACGAAGTCGCGGGCGGCCGCTAGTTGAAAATACTTTCACGCTGATTGTAAAGAGGAAAATGTTATAAATATTATGAGTTATAAAAATAAGTGGGTTTGGCTTATATTAATATGGATGTTATGACACATGTCATAAATGTAGCAGGAAGGCACTGGATGATGCAGGCCGCTACTAACCGGTCATTATGGAAATGATTGGGGAAGGTCTATTTTCAGCAGTGGACGTCCTATGGCTAAAATGAAGATGATAATAATAATATGACACATCAGATATTTATAGCTGCTATGGCATGAAGATCAACAAAACATTTATTTATTGCGAATCTAGAGTGTTGTAGGCTTATAGGTAAGTCAAAGATAGGTACTGTTATAAAGGTTCATAACTCACTTCACCAAAACCACCTCGTCCGATGATGCGATGTACGCTGAAGTCGTTCATCGTTAATTGTATGTTTAATTCTAAGTTTTTCCATTGACAAAACCTTGTGTATTTGTCACTGCAACAAAAGGAATCGTTATCTATGCGTTGAAGGACACATATCGATAATTTTAGAATCGATTTCAAGACAGCTTACCTTTCTAAGAATAGTTTAAAAGGCTCTCCTCTGAGATGTTGGAATATTTCTTCAATATACGGCTGGAAAGAAGGCAAATATCAGTAACATGTCAATACAGATTTATTGTACTCAATAATTTAAATTATGAGAAAAATATACCTCAAATAGATTTGGTGGCACTTCGTGTTTCATTAAATATTTCTGTACATGCGCTACGCATTCCTTGGAATAATCCTGCAACAATCATACAGTATTAATAAATAAATAAATACCAAAACGGGTATCCGAGTATAGTTTTAATCAAGCTAGCCTCTTATTCATAATTTATCATCCGCATTATCATACCAAAGAATTCCGAATTAAAATCCGAGCACTAGGTCGAAAGCTGAAATGCAAAACTGAAAACAATCCGGGTCGGATTTAAAACCAGCATATCTTCAATTTATTTAACAAAGAGCTTTAACTTTTAACTGGGACACTCCCACAATTAGGGCACGGCACGAATCGCATAAGCTGTGATGGCTGCGGGCTGGCGTCCACGTTCATCCAGGGTGCTAATCCCCGGAGGTCGCAACTTTTCACATTTTAATTCACCATAATATAGACGCCACATGTGAATTTTAAGCCGTATTTGTATTGAAAAGCAAAATGGTTTTAAACTCGTGTAGCGTTTTTTTTTTGCTCTTGTATTAGCATTGTGCCACTAACAATTTATTACTTCATCTAGTACATGATTCAATATAACTATCGACCTGTACCTTTCGCACCACTTGGCTAGCAAAGAAAAGCAGCGCAACATACGGTGCAAATCGCGAAACAATATACTGAAACAAAACTCGAACCTACGCCACATCAAACGTAGATTCAAATAATCGTATACAAGTTTCACAACATGTATGAGTGAGTGACAGACAATGCAAAACTAAATGATACCCTAATTTATATGCGGCGAGGATTTTACATCGTAAGTTCTGAATGCGAACAATTACATGAATCAAAGTTCGTTTTTTTTTTTCAGGGATTCATTCAATTATTTTGCTCTACAGTGGTCCAACAACAATCGCAAACTAATATTGCTCGAAATAGAACAGAAGGACAATCTCAACTTGAGGATTTCAATTGCCGTAAATTGGCTGCATAATGTTCAATGCATACCAATTAATTGAACAAGCAAACAAGCGGTTTATTGATATAACTACCGAGTACTTTAAATAGAACAAGTAGTTCGAAATGGGCATCATGTATGGATAATAATAACTCGTGCACGCGATACATGAAAATTAATCCCCATAAAGTAATTATTTTGAGTTTTAATTAATGATGTTTTGAGCAGCCGCAGCGTACGCGGATGCATTTTAATCTCCGGGAGCGGTGAAATGCAGTAAATTCAAAGCGTGTTTCATTAATGCAGGAACTCCGTTATAAGAACAGCGTTTTGAATATTTCTAACAATAATGTGCATTGCTACATTAATTTCCTAATTTGTGCCTATACATCGACATAGCTGAATTTCAAACAAGGCTTTCCAATGAACAATGCATAAAAGTATCGTTATCTTACGGATAATATGAAAAATTATATCTACTTATCGAATATTAACCAACTACTAACATTTGTGTCTAGTAAGTAGGGCAGCAATTCGTGGTTAGAATATTAATTTAGGCCGCTGGTGGTCATTAGAAATCGATTGTGTTGAACAAAGAAAAATATAAATGTAAAAAATCAACAGCATTATCACATTAACACCTATCAGAGTCGAATAGCGCAATTGACCAATAAAACTGATTCATCCACTCCGATAAATCAAAGAGCCCGTTCAACTGCGATGATTTATCTTAAGTGAGATTATCCCGTTCATTAGGAACAAATTACAGGAATTACCAGACATTAGTGGGCATAGAGCTTATCGATTGTTATCTGTACCGTCGGGCACCACGCCAAGTGTCCGTCAACGAGGGTTGCTAAGGTATATTCACATTGATATGGCGTGCATTGCCTAGAGGATAACTGGCAGATAAAGCTTTAGGCCAGTAGACCTAGGATGTACGCCGCGATAAGCCTTTATCATGCGATTTTATCGATTTTACGCGATAAGCCCAAACGTTTGTTGTCTAAAATCATTGATAAGATTTTATCACGGTGAGCATCCCTATTGAGGTCCTTATTGAGAAACGGACTCAACCTTAGCAACCGACAAATAACAGGAGAAACTATTTATTAATCAGTTACGCCAAATTTTAATAACGTGTAACATTTGATCAGAAGAAATCATTGGTAGTGACATTCACTTTGTAATTGATGATTCAAAATGAGGCACATAAACAGAATTTAGTACATGTATATTACATGTAAACTTCAACATGTAATAAAATGTTAACATAAAATATTAAACGACTTTCAATATTTTACAAGTTTTACAACACATTAAAGTCCCGTCACATCTTAAAACATCAAAAATTTACTTACGTGTGAATGTGCTAATAGTTCCTTCATAATAAAATTGTCATAAATATCTCTCGCGATCCTCCGCCTTTCTTCTATACATTCTTGTTTTTCATATAATTTAATCTGTTGAAAAAATAATAAACTTAACTTATTGCATTATAAATGTCGTAAATCTGGTGCATATTTCCACAATATTTCGATGCACTAACTTTATTTATTATTTATTTTAAAAATTCTTTGAAAGTTAGAAGTAATATTTAATATTTTATTTGCTAGAAAAAAATATCTGTGGTGTAAGTTTTATTATAAGGCATTCTATTTTGTTATCAAGGCATAAATAATTAATAGGATTATTCAAATCGACATTTAAGTAAACAAAGTTAGTCATGAACTATAAATAATTACTTTACCTCTTCATAAAACTTTAATTGTGGCACTGGTTCTTCTGACGTTTGTTCACAAAATTCCTTAAATAATAAATAACCTGAAACAAAAACAACAATTAGGAATGTGTCTTTCTTTACATACACTGACCTAACATAATAACTAAAATATTACAGGTTTGTTTTTTTTTTTTTTTTTTTCAAAAATTGTAGGAACAAATTATGTCAGTATGTTTCCTATGTCATCATAAAAATGATTGTCCACGTGAAATAAAAAAAAAAGAAAATAACTTATTAACATTGTTATCAGTCATTTTATGGCTATATCAAAATGACTGTATTTGTCAGGTTATTAGGATCTAGACGCTAAATCGATCGTAAACTCATAAGCGTTTTACCTAATGTCCAATTATCACGTCAAATGGTACGACCAAGTATCAATTGCGTCTTTAAGGCCGTACGTAAGACTAACCACGCATTTTAGTACATAAGGCGGCATATAGCTACGTAAATGTTTTGGAATCTTATTTCGCTATATTAGGTGCTATATTGCAACAACATGTAAAATCTGACGTGCTGTCGACTGTACAAAATATCATCACGCAGTAAATTTTATGACGTAGCAATGAGTTGTTGTTAGTGACATGTAATAAAATTCTTGCTAATTTTTGTCTCTATCGCTATTCGATAGAGAGAAAAATTCTTAAGTTCTGATTGTTCCGAATTACCTACATATTCATAAGGTTAATTTCTAAGGATTGATTGGAGCGCGAAGAGATAAGACGGCTATTGCGATTTATTACTTAGAACGAATGAGAGCATTTGCGCATCAGTGATGTTTAGACACTTCTAGTTAAATCAAATTTAATTATGATGTTATTAATAAAAATCGTAGCTAATAAACGTAGTTTTAAGTCTCTCAATCGATTTGGTTTGATTTTTATTTTTTAGCCTACATTTCGAACAAAGTGATGCAAAAACATTTTAGAGATTTAAAAAAAAACTTGCATATAAATAAACATTAAGAATCAAAGTAAACAATTGTGGTATTCGTTCAATCGGTACAACTCGAATGAACGTAATAACCACTTACCGCAGTGAACACTAACATTTCATGGTAATAGATCTCCGTCACTGGTCACTGTGATAGGAACCATTATTTTGCCGTTTTATGAACTTTGTGTATGAATGAATTAATCAAACTTCATTAGAAATAATTATCATGGTTTCGTAATTTATTTATTATTCAGTGTTAAATTGTAACACCGGCATACAATATCAATTTAGATAAGCTGGATCAAAAACCAATCTTTTATCGTGGTATTAAAACCATTTTATTAGCTAAATCCGCTACTGTACCCGCAATACGATAAGATCATATAAGGCTCAAAACTATTCAAGCTTAAACTCAATATTTAACTCAATCAAAGGTATCTGATGCGATCTGCGGTCAAGTCATAGTAATCATACATTATGCGAGCCGCAGACTGCATCGGAGTGTGGCAAATCCTTCAAATGTATGAGTCCACATTATCTATGTAGTTTCAATTTCAAACTACGAGCCTAATACAGCAGACGACAAGTACTCATCAAAGGCAACTACAAAATATCTTATAAGATTTTAGGATAATATTTAGGGCTCTACCAATAAACTATGCCACCGTATGACACGGATATCGGCCGTCAGTCATCGTGACGCTCAAAATAATTACCGATTGCAACATATCATCGACCAGTATATTTACACAGATCTAACAAATCGACCGCATTTTTGCAAATAAAAATAGTATCTCACAGTTCCCAAAGAAATAGCTCACACCAGAAATTATGAGATTGTAGACGTAGAGCAATAAAATAATACCAATTTCTAGGGAAATGGTTGGTTGGTCCTTAATAATTTCACGCTATTCTGTGTTAATCTGTGTTATGTTACATCATTAACGGTTGTTAAATTTTCACTACGATGATATGATATAAGATATTATTCATTAATATGTATAGCGGTTTCTTCATCAACAGTAAGGATAAGAATCAACATAAATATTGGACTTTCCATAAGGAGCATTGTAAGCGTTGGGAAACCGCTGACTCAAAGCGTAAAAAACTTTCAATCAGGTGAGTGAGGTGCAATCCAAGAGCTTCCTCGTTGTGGATAAAAAATTTTATAAAAAAAAATAAAACCGACTCCAAACAAAAAACCTACACTAAAAANGCGCTTCTGTCTTGCGATCTCCCAACGTGCGCTGCTGATGGCTTTTCTCAGCTTGCCACAGTCGGTAACGGAATGGTTGCCGTCGCACACTGGGCACGGCGGTCTCTGCTGTACTCTCTTCTCTTCTATGTGGAAGACACGCTGGATATTCTGTTGTTTGCTATAATGGTAACTGTCTTCTCGGTAAACTGGTTCGGGAGCAGCGAACTTAGCACACTTCTCGGCCTCTTGCTCGATGAAGCGGCTGAACTTGATGAGGTCCGGTTCCTCTTCTGTATGCTCCCAGGCGAAGTCATACCAGCGGTAGCGAAGCGCCGGTGTAAGCTTCTCGGTTAAACTATACAATATCTCTGGATTATAGAGGTAGTGTGTTCGCCCAAGTGCACGAAGTGTCGCTACGCTATTCTGTATTTTGCTGGCGAACACACAAATCTGTTGCGGAGAGTCGATGAGTCTCGGTAGATTTCTCAAACTATCGATCTCGGACAGGGCTATAGAGTCCGGGCGGCCAAAGCGCATTTCTAAAGTGCGCATGATGTCTTGCGCCTTCGCATTCACTATGAGCAAAGAGGTCACGGCTTCTTTTGCTCGTCCGGTAAGTGACCGCCGGAGTCGTGCGATGTTCTCTATCTCGCTGAAAAAACTCGCTGTCTCGTTGTAGGCTGCTTTGAACGCGAGCCAATCGTAGTGCGCGCCACTGAAGTTCGGCAATTCTCCGATATACTGTGGCTGCTGTCCGGCGCCCGCTGCGGTTGCGATGGCGGTCGCGAGTTCCGTCAAGTCTATTTTTGATGACGTCGGCTGCGGTACGGTTACGGTTGCGGGCGATGGCGGTTGTAAGTCGCCATCTCCTTTCANCGTCCTAATAAATAAGTAGGTAATTAGTAATTATTTTTCTACGTTTTAGTGTAGGTTTTTTTGGAGTCGGTTTTATTTTTTTTTATAAAATTTTACTTATTTCTTGCTTTTTAGTTAACTAATTATTACCTTGATGTTACCACTGAAGGTAGGCAGTACACTGAGACCAAAAAAAAATGGTTCATAATCGGCGGAGATATTGCGTATAAAAAAGTTCATCCCCAATTTTCCACCCTTGGGGGTGAAATATTTTCTTCAAATTCGCATGAAACCACCCTTTTGATAATACCTATTCAACAAAAAAATAATCGTTCAAATTGGTTTATAATCGGCGGAGATATTGCGTATAAAAAAGTTCATCCCCAATTTTCCACCCTTGGGGGTTGTTTTTTTATTATTAAATTTAAATGGGACCACCATTGAGGTATTACCTATACGCCGAAAAAAGATTCGTTCAAATCGGTTCATAATTGGCGGAGTTATCGCGTAACAAACATAGAAAAAAAAAAAAAAAAAAACAAACATACGGGTCGAATTGAGAACCTCCTCCTTTTTTGAAGTCGGTTGAAAATATTTGATAAATATTGATCATAAAATCATGTTTGACCATATTGGTTCATTTTGTTACTTAGCTGTAGGAATCCAAAAAATGCAAAGAACTCTACCTACATTGCCGTGATTTCGGCCTCTTTAATTTTATTTTTGCCTTTTCTGGAACCTCTCAGCTTTTGATAAGCTCGTTCGTATTAATTACATACTTAGGAGCTCCAGTATTTTGTTAAAGTTATAGTAAAATCATTTTCATATTAATGTAAAACGTATCCCGCATAAAATGAAAAAGTTATTGAAATTATTGACAGCGTCGTCGGTTTGTTCCACGTATAGGGCTGTTCAACGTCCAGTGCAGTACCCGATAAAGTTATTTACTGCGAGTGGAACTGGGGCCGTCGTAAATTGCGTTGTTAACTCATCCCGGGAGCTTTGCTCCGCGGAAATATGAACACTTCTATAGTATAAGAGGTACTCATAATCGTAAGTATTTAGGTGCTCTATGTCAGGCAATCACAATTGATAAGAGCCTTAGACCACAATTGATTTCCTTATTTAATAAGAGGTTGCTTTCCCTCTGTAAAATTGCCATAGCATAAGCACAAAATGTGGTTTAAGCGACATTTTGGAAAAAAAAACAAAATCAGCCAAGTGTAATTGTAATTGGTATAGTTACGCAATAAAAATAAAAATTACGGAATATCCATATCATAATTGCATGGATTAGGCTCTTGAATTCCTGATAAGACTAGGCCAACTTCTGCGACGCAGCAGAAATCAGAAAAGCGAGGGTCTATTATAAGCAAATAGGTAATCTTGCCCCAGTCTCTCCCACTGAAATTATATTACAAAGGGATACTGCGTCACCACCTCCTGTCGCTTGTCTTATATGAGCCTCTCTACCTTAAATTTGTTCTAAACGGTAATAATAACGTAGATAGTCCGATAAAATATATTAAATTAGTACTATAAATAACATATCAGCACTAGACATTTGATAACCGATAGATAACACTGATCTGTGTGGACTGGTAACGTTTGTTGAGACGCGACGAACTGTGAATCTTGCATTGTTCGCTGGTACACCAGACGCCAGCTCGCTTTCCATTCATAACGCCACGGAATTGTGCTAAACTGACGTAGATAGGAATTGCGTGAATCAGTCATCATGACGCACGTGTAAAGTAACACTAGTCTTTTTGTCACAGGGCTGGTTAAATTGAAAAACGAAAATCTAGACTTTCATTATCGTCCATGATGTCTGCGGATATCAGGTCAGGTAGGTACTAAGAGTAGGAAGTAGGGTGTGAAGAAGACATACAAAGAGGTATAAACTGAAGAAAGCAAAACCCATATTCGAATATACGCTCGTTTTTCATTATATGTTGTCCGATAAGATTTGTTCAATGCGAAAGTCTTCAATTTATTTACTGCGGGGATGACGTCCATAATGCTATGAGTCTCATGTTGCAAGAACTAATACCGCTCTAGTAGTCTAATCAATCGCATCGCCCCACTTTAACAGTATTGTTCCAGTTAGAATATAAGAACAACCGCCGATATACGTCTGCGGGAATAAATAAACCGCTCGCAGCCGAGAGGTGAGAAATAAATGATTATGAAGTGTCTAAATTAATTTCTCAGTGGGACGACAAAACTTGCGCCCGCAGATATGTAGGCGTCATAACATTAATTCCGGTCATGAACCAGGCGAGTTCATAAATCATAACTGATCTCGGAGGGTTTCATTGACGCCCCGAAAAAGTGGAGCGGCCAAATACGTACCCAGTAAGGATGTGTATTATTATCGATTACGAAAAACAATCGAGTAGATTTGATTATAATAAACGATTTTCATGTTTTACATTCGCGATTTTTTTATGTTGTTCGTCATAGAATGACGCTAGTGCTATTTGTTTTTGCTACATTGTTATGTGACTAGGTATCTTTAATAATTAATTCAAGCGTTAAACATATATCGCTAAACAAAGATAACCTATCTATCGGCGATTATTTTATATTAAGTAAAACAATCGATTAATTAATAAATCTGGGGGCACGGCAGTGCCCCCACCAAGTCGAGCAAAAAAGCGGCACGGCCGTACCATCCTTTTCTCGAAGCAATTCAGGCCATTTTCGACCGCCTGTAACTTCGTTGTGGATAAAACTAGAAGGCTGAATTTTCATTAGCTATGCAGGCATTGTAAAGACACGGTATATTTAAAATTTCATTCAATTTGAACCAGTAGTTTAAGAATTATAACGGGTCAAAGTTACTTAATTTTGTCACTCACTGACTGACTCACTGACTCACTGACTCACTCACTGACTCACCGATCATCAAAACTCTAAGGCACTTCTAGCAGACCTAGAAGCTTCAAATTTGGAATATAAGTAGTGTTTGGTGTATGAATCAAGGAAAAACTAAAATATTTGGGGGCACGGTAGTGCAACCGCCAAGTCGAGTAAAATTTTTCAATTTCGGTCCAGTTTTCTAGATACATAACTGCTGTCTACAAAATACAAAAAGAAATGAGATCCCATCAAAAACAATACTTGTCAAAAAAACCAAGTCTCGCAACTCAGTTGTTCTACGGTAAAAAGTTGTGAGATCCATGTAATACCAAGTCCAGGCCAGGAAATCTTTAACGTTTTACATAAATATATTGACTTGGCCATCGCATGAAAACACGTGTAAATTAAATTATTTAGTGCGATGGCCAAGTCAATAATTTATGTAAAACGTTAAAGATTTCCTGGCCTGGACTTGGTATTACATGGATCTCACAACTTTTTACCGTAGAACAACTGAGTTGCGAGACTTGGTTTTTTTGACAAGTATTGTTTTTGATGGGATCTTTTTAACATACAATGTCACATCCCCAATACCCACCCACTGAAGGTTTTTCTGCGCTCATTTTCTCGACGGGGAAGGAAAGTCTGATAAGTTCTACGCACTGATGTCGGATTTTTATGCAACCTGCGTAACGATGAGTCAATGAGTCACGTTACTTCGCACGAATTCAGTCCGGTTTGACAGTCAAAGAAGTACCATTTACCTTTAGTCATCATCAATTTGTAATTTAAATATCGTTAAAGAATGACGTTGAGATTGAGACCGTTGACTTACATGCCATTTATTTAGACGATATTTCAATACACTATGAAATCTGGCTGTTTTTGTCACAATCACTACAATCAGCGTCAAATAGTTCGTGACACCCAGCCCCAAATTAGCCAAAAAGTCCGACATCTCTGTTACATTGGGAATAAGGTTGTGCTGTCAACTTTTTGGCCACTTTGGGTGTCACAAACTATTTGACACTGACTATACCTAGTCTTTTAGTCAAAAGGGGACAGTTTAAAACTCGTTGCAAAATCTGCAAGCTGTCGTTCCTTCCTATACAAGTAAGCAACCGAGATAAACGCGTTGTAGTGCGGATGTCTCTGGAGAAATCTGCGATATCGACACTCCTTGCTTGAGCAAGGGATTGCAAATGTGTTTAGCCACGACAAGAGAAAATCCTCGACACGTATCAATACAGATGCCAGACAGTGCACAGCAAAAGAAAGGTATACTTAGCTGGCACACAATCAAAATAAATAATTGTTTACGATGAACTGTTAAAAAGCTTTATTAAGTAGAAACTTCTCCATAATGACCATCCTAAATTTATTTAGCTAAAGAAAACATTTACAACTGAACATTAGAGAGAGTGATTTTACAACTGCGTTAAATGCTTAGTTTATTCTAGACGATAACGCGCTTTTATCGGGCTACGTAATCGCTCCTCAGTTTTATTTTGCTATGAATCCCCAAGCATAGGTAAACTTTTATTTATTAGTCTAGTCATCAAACTCATCAATGACCTGGATTTCATGGACCTCTATCTGTACACTACACCACACAACGAGTCAACTTTTTTCTAATGCTTGCGTAATAACGAAAAACCTTTTACTTCCGTTCTTAATCGCATGTTCATCTCCAAGAGATGAGTTCTTAACTCCATGTAAAGACAGACTCTGGTTAAATACTTCAAGCCCGAGTCAGCAATCTCAACTCGCGATGCAAAGCTAAGATATCGAGTTATATTGAGAAGAAAATTATACTCAACGACACGAGGTAACTTCATTAGATCCAAGCAATTGTAGGCAGGCGTAATCCAGGGCGTGCGTGCGCAAACGTCTCGGCTGCTTCAGCCCTGCTTACGTTTAATCTTGTTTACGATACGAATCCCCACAAGAAAGTTGCTGCGAAAGTGATCCCATGTTAAACTTATCTAGATCAGCCTTAATCCGGACAGGCAGTCCTATGGACATAGTGCACGCACGCAAATGAAGCAGTTGAGATAAGCTGGACTTATCTTTGGAATGATATGCATTTTTATTTGATCGACCCGTTTACCGTTTTCGCTATATCTACGGAAAGATTGATAGGGTTGAATATTTGTTGCAGCACTTGTGATAGGTATAAAAAAAATGTGGGAAACTCCAAATATACTCTTGTTCATACACCTACATCAGTTTAATCGCAAAATCACTTTGGTCCACCGCTGATAAATTATATCAAAATCAAAACAAAACGTCTTATCTAGAGATACCTAAAATGGATGATATTTTTGCACTTACGCTTAAAAACAAAGAAAACATCGGCTATTGATGTTTAACTGTTTCCTACTCGAAACAATCGTGATGAAAGAGCAGTCACTCGGACCACTAGCTCTGTGCAAGCTAATAAAACGTATTTGCCGAGACGGGCGCACGCTACTCCAATCCGAGAGCTGTAAAATCTCAGAAGTAATCGCTCAAGATGAAAAGAGCGTCAAAGGGCTCTCAATGTGTTTACAATGCTTCTCTCTGCAAGGTTCAATGGAAATGTGACTGTATGAGACTTCAAATGGGTAGGTAATCTCTTTACGCCAGTTTTAGCGTGTGCAAGAAATTTACCGTCGCTCCATCCACCGTCAGCGTACATCAGATTACACATTTTTGTTGCAAGGTAGCCCCTATTACAGCTACAAGACGTCATAGTGTTAAGCGTGAAGTAGATGACTGAATAATTACAACTTCAAGCAAAATTCGTCATTACGGAAAAGGCCCTCAAATATTGGGCACGCCTGACTCAAGCAAAGGTCGTACTGAGTAAAGGATGTACCGCAAACTACTAACTGTGCATCAAAACATCTGAGGAACATTAAAGTAGGTCCCTCTCGAGCGCTGTCCATTAAGGCTAGATGACTGCCGAGTAGCGTCCATTAAACAGGGCAAATAACGTAGATTGATACTGCACTTCCTTGAAAAAGTGCCTTTATAGTACTGTACCTCTAGTACGAAAAACTTTCGAGTTCGTTTCGTTTGCGTATTCAAAGTGTCATCGAAAAATTTTGTATGAAAAATTAAACAGCGCCCCCTATATTATAGCCGCCCTAGGGGGCGCTGTTTAATTTTTCATACAAAATTTTTCGATGACACTTTGAATACGCAAACGAAACGAACTCGAAAGTTTTTCGTACTAGAGGTACTGAGCTGCTACTTTAAACAAAATGGAAGTTTTCAAAGGGGGTTCTATTAACTTGTTTTAATTAGTTGAATGCCGTTGAAAATAAAATGTTTTATATAAAAACGAAAAGACTAGTTTCCTCTTCTTCTTTTTCTAGTTGTATTTTCGTATCAAATAAAGGTTTCCTATTTCTATTTTCTTAAATTAAATAAATTAGGCGGTACGATTTATGATATTCATCGGCCACATCGTTATTGTTAAATTATAAGTACTAACTTTTTCTATTGTATTCAACTTCACTACATTTTAGTACAGTACAGTAGATTATTTTGCTGATATCCTTGATCTTAATACGATTAACATTTATGCAAAGTATTATTTCAATTTTAATGACAAAATGACACTCACCTAAGACTTGATTAAATATTTTGTCAAAATTAACTTCATTCTTCTTTTCCATATATTTGTGCATAACACTCCGAACACTGAAACAAAGAGAAGGGTTATTAGAAAAAGAGAGGTCAACATTAAAACAATAATAACATACAAGTTGGAAATAATCCCCCGAAAATCCGTGAAAATTTTCACAAAATAGAACGACAGCCACGGGTACATGTGGCGGTATCCAGTTTATTTTTCATATTATTTTATGAATAAAAGGCCTATGTATTTATTAAAAGTATTACTTTTCGCGATAAACCTCCAGTCGACCTTCGCATTTCATCAATAAGGCATAACAGCGCCTCCGAATCGCAAGTTAAAACGCTGTTTTATCGTTTTGTTTACTGTAACCACGATCACCAAAAGGATTTTTTATGTAGACGACATAGCTCTGGCCTTCTTTACGACGTCTGTAGCCCGAAGCTATGGCACAATGGTCTACAAACTTGTTTGTTGAGACAGCTTTATTGGAAAGGGTTCAAGTTCAAAAAACTTAGGCAATGGCAAAAAAGGCAGTAAATAAAGCGTAAATGCTTCTTAAAATAACATAAAATAAATATTTCACGTCAAAATACGATGAAGATAAATTTATTAACTGCAAACAATCCATTACAAGTAAATAAAATGCTATCTCTGTTTGTTTGGAACAAAAATAAATTTTATCTCTATCATTGGAAATAAAACAAGTCATTAACGAAAATATAAATATTTTTTCCTGCAATCACGTCCAGCAACACTTAATTAAGTCTAAGTATTATAGTATTATGACGACTATGTAGATAACTAGATATTACAACGGGCTACAATATTTTCAAAATTGTCCAAAACTCAACATTCGCCCTTTGCTTGGATGAAATTGGATCGGATCGCATTCGGATGAAAGTAAAATGTTAATTTTTTAATTATTTATTTTCTGGATTAGCACTAGGCAACTAGCACCGTCATCAAGCGTAACAAACCAGACGTGCTGGCGTAAATGGCACACACAAACAGAACTAGTACTAAAATTGTTTGATATTTATGTTTAAATTTTTGGCCCTCGAACCGTCGCGAAGGTGCAATGTTTGAAAACATCTGAAACTTTACTGCGTATTTGTGACGTGAAGGACGCGGTGGTTTATGTCGACCAGTCGCTAATACTTCAGAGTAAAAGCTATTCATAACACGAGAATGCAAATGTACGATTAGAGATTGAAAGAGACTTCACTTTTTAATGATTAAGGCACTTCTTCCATTTTTTTAAGAAGATCACAATTCACAACAAAAAAAAAACAAAATTCGGATAATAATGTTTAGATAGTAAAATAATTAAAAAAAATACGAAATCCAGAAACACGACCTGAACCGAGTCTAAGCTGCTTTTTCTAAGTCGTACCTATTCGTAGTTGAATTCAATGTAAAAGATTTTCCTTTTTTAACACATCCACAATAAGCTAAGTTCATTACATTTTCTGATTTCCCCATAATCCGAGAATAAAAAGTAGAGGCGATCTATTTTAGAATTAAAACTTTTCTGATAAAATAAAGGTAAAACTGTTCTTCCGCCTCATAATTTCCTAGAATAAAGAAGTTTAAAACACAGACTAAATCCTGAATCACGAAGTTATACATTTTCTATTTTAATGAATCATAGTCCAACTAATGCTTTCGTAAAAAATCTCGAAAGTGGGGTTTTCCGTGAATTTCAGATTCACAACTGTTTTTCTAGCTAAAGTGGATGAGACAATCGAAGCAGAAGTGCTTAACGACTCAAATTTAAGGGTCAGTAACCGACATGAATAAAAATCTGGACTTAATTTGTAGTTACATGTTATTTTTCAAATTATTTTCGATATCCTACATTCAAGCATAATAATAACGACAGCCGATAAGTAATTAATGAACTTGTTTGTGGTCATTATACTTTTGCAAACGACTTAGAATCGAAACAAGCTACATGCACAACTACATGTACCATTTAAAAACCAATTTACGGAAAATATTTTAGTTTGTTTGGAACAAGAATTTGATATGATTCGAATCGAAAGACATTGCCAACCCATCAGTACTTTACACATGGTAAAGTTAGTAAAAAGGTAAATGTTACAAGTAAAGCGCTTACAAATGATACCAAACACGGCATATTTATCTTAACTTTATTTTTTTACTCTGTATGTTTTGTCCGCTAGAGGGCTTCACATTATAGCCTATAACCAGCGGACAATTAAGACACTTCTAATGATATGTCATTTGTCGAATTATGATGAGTAGTTTAGAAGTTACGAGGGAATAGATGAACATACATACATACATAGCCTGTCAAAATCATAACCCTCCTTTTGCTTTGCCGTAGTCGGGTAAAAACCCTATCGCATGTCGTAGGAAGTATTTTAATTGTTTTAATTATGCGTCGTACGTACACACCTTGTTGACTGACGTGTTTTAAAGACTAAAATAGAAGGCAATGAATCACAGTATCATAACTGTCGCAGCATTGCGTGATGGGAGGCGATTTAAACTAATAGCACGCGAATCGTGATATGGCTCCTCCGAGTATTATATTGCCACTTGTAGTGAAGTTTAGGACATCTTTTATTTAGCTGTCTAAATAAGTAGTCGTCGTTGTTATTTGGAATTAAAAAACAAGTAGGTATTATTTTAAGAAATTTATTGACTATTATTACGTGCGTGTCAATCATGTTGTTGATAATAAATTGAAATTGTCTGAAGATGATTTCAATCGTAAACTTGAGCGATTGCGATTTGCGATGGCAATGTAGCGAAATAAATTAAAAGGTAAATTTTACAAACAGTACCTACTGTTACTGACTGACAGACAAAGCAGAGCCTACTAAACCCAGAGATTATAATTAAGAGGGTAATTATACTCCCTAGAGGTGCACTAAGGAAGGCTTTTAGAAGGGATTGTCGTCGAAAAGTTCTTAGGGAATGCGAATGCCGCATTTACGTGGTCTCTGCGTAAATGTGCAGGTGGCGACTTAGTAAATTAACGAACAAAACGAGAACAAAGCTTTATCATAGAAAATTCGTAAAAAAATGAACAAGCTAAGATGAGAACCTCCTTCGCAAATTGTGCATTCTTTTAAATTTTCCTTCTTCTATTCAATGAATTAACATTTAACTGAATTTTCCTTTGCCTGGCTGCAAGTGCAACCGTGTGCCTATATCGGATTGCCTTATTTATGTTTTTTTTTTTTTTATGTGATAGGAGGCAAACGAGCAGACGGATCACCTGATGGTAAGTGATTACCTTATGTGGTAAGTGATTATGTGTGGTTTTTGTTTCCGGAATTAATATTGGGTGGGAAACATTTATAGCATTTACATATTTGTAGAATCGTTCTGCTAATTCCAGGAACTAATTGCAATCCCAATTAATGAATTTGCATACTGGGTAATACAATAATCTAATTATAGGTAATTTATATTTAGACTACACAACTAAAATTTCCTTATTTTTCCAGTTTATTTTACGCGAGTCCCTAATGGAATACCCATTTGTATGGGCCATCATTCTTTAGTGGGAATTCTTGTTTAAAGTTTACGTAAGCGATGACAAATTACGAGCAGTTGAGCTGTTTCACTCTTCTCCATTACCCGCCAGACAATGTGCCTGTGCGAGACCGGAATAAATATAAACGATGCTTTGGGCAAATAGTAAAGGGCATTAAATGTTGGTTCTTTCTTGATGAAACTGGAAAAAATACTAAAATAAGTGCTTTTTTCCTGTGATGCGGATTTCGCCACGCGTGCGGATTTAATCCACATTCGGGCTGCCCCCATTCTAATATTTCATACAATACATGTTTTTCAATTGTTTTACAATACATGAGCTACACGCAGGCGGACCACATCCATACGCGTGCCAAAATCAGCATCTCAGGAAAAAGGCACTTACGACGAATTTGCAATTCATAAGACGACTGATGTTTACGGAATCAAAGTAAGTTCGTTTCTAAGACACCCCGTTACAGACTTTTTGTCGGCCGATCTTCAATTAAATAACGGCGCGCGCGCATGTGGATTTTGTCACCGTGATAGTATGTCTCTCTTTTTCTCTTATAAAGGTGTAAAATAAACAGATCTTATTTATGCTATCACGGATAATACTGTCACGGCGACAAAATAGTCACCCTTGCGCGCGCCTTAATATTGACATTTTGGCTGCTAAAATAAAGAAAACTATTATTACTCTACAAGCTCTTGCAATCAGCGATAAATAGGACCCAAGAAGCAACTAAATGGAGCAACTGTAAAAAAATCAATTTAAGCACGCTTCCTAGCTGAATGGGATGAGGGACAGTCCCTACCCTAGCACCAAACGTTCATATACGTTTACAATATAATTTGGCAGCTGATGACGAAAAATTCTTGCTTTGCTCTTGGTAACTTGGTAAAGTACCTTGACTTTAGTAGAGGCTTAGAGTTTTTGTTTCCACAAATTATTTTCAAATTTTTATTATTGTTGACTTAGGAGGCCATTTCACTGGGTTATGTTGGGATATTTCCTTCAACACTCACGATTCAGACACAATAACAAATTGAAATTTTCTAACAGTCGGCGGTTTCGAGAAAGTTGTGAACGTATTAGATGATTCAACATCAGGAATTCAGTGGTAAGGTTTGTGGTAGAAAAGGGTAGGGATGAGGGCCGATATTGTTGTTCCAGTTAGTTGGAAACCTGTAGTCAGTTTTTACATTCTCGCAGACACGAGTCAAGCTTAGTGGAGGAAAAAAGCCTTGCCTGCTAATGCCAATGCCTTTTTAATAATAATTACAATTATGTTGCAGTGTCGTGCCTAATCACGGCATGCGTGTTAAAACTGAAGTCGGCCCTTGCGCTGTAATGTGAGTGACGTACATACTTACCGTATGAGCAGACAGGTAACAAGTACTTAATATTTCATGAAGCGGGTACTAGTACTTGCTGAAATGAGGAATAAGCGGCTAGTTCGAAAAATCCAGCGTTTATTATGGACAAAATAGCGCATGAACAAATTGAGAGTTTGGAGGTGGACATAATGTGAAAGGATGTCTCTGCCTA